TCATTCTTGATCATTCTGTAATCACGTTCTCTTTATAAAGTCTTCCGCGCACTCTGTCTAGTAAAACTCATAACAGCGCAGGTCAGGCTCAAATTACAAGCTGAGTAATATCTACATAAATTTGCGATAGCAATATACAAGCTCACAGTTTTTAGCGTAGGCGCCACAAAATCATGCATCCCAAAAGGAGGGTAATGTGCTCCAACCTACCATATCCCCTTTTGTGATGTGTGGTAAGTTAACTCCACATGTCACTATGAAATGTTAGGCACATTTATGTATCACCCGTAGTAACGACTTCTGCACTGGCATGGGAAGCGCTTGGTTGGGCTTTCTCCATAAACTGTTGAGGAGGAGGAGTCCTGTTCTTGTTTTCCCTGAAGCCTGCACCCCACCAAGTATAAGCACACACGAGACACCAAGTCATTCGCTTGACAAGGTTACTCACAAAGCAAAAGCCCCCGGCGAGTAATGTGTTTGACGATTGACAAGGCAACCAGAACTGGCTGCCTGTCACCTACATGGCAAATGGCATAGAGGAGTGTGTGATCAGAGATTCCAGGAGTGTACCAAGCCTGCAAAAAGCTTGGAAAAACAAACCATGATAGAACTTAGTGCTCCCAGCCACGGCAGCTGAGCTCTCGGAACTATTGGGAGATGGTACAGAGCGCACAGCAGCACCAGTGCATCCAAGAAGCGCAGGGTAACCACGCATGCAGCTGCGTCAACCTCACAGCACTCACCAATAGACAGGTCCCAGCCTCGGCTCTTGAGCTCTCAGTACTCCTGGGAAATGGCGCAGAGCGCACAGCAGCACCAGTGCAGCCTAGTTTTGAGTCGACTCAAAACACAGCAGCACCAGTGCAGCCAAGAAGAAGTGTGTCACCCAGCATGTGCACGTATCACCCTCACAGGGCACTCTCTCACAGGGGGACATGGACACTCACCCAAGGACAGGTCCCAGCCTCGGCTCTTGAGCTCGCGGTGCTCCTGGGATATGGTGCAGAGCGCACAGCACCGGTGCAGCCTAGAAGAATCAGGTCACCAAGCATGTGTGTGTAACGACCTGCCTTGACACTCACCAATTGACAGGTCCCAGCCACGATTCTTGAGATCGCGGTACTCCTGGGAAATGGCACAGAGCGGACAGCACCAGTGCATCCAAAAGTCGCCACAGGGCTTCTCTGGAAGGTCGTACCTCGCCCTTACCGTCTCTCGGCAATTGATTCGACTCCAACGCTGTATTGGTCACACAACACTCACCAATTGACAGGTCCCAGCCACGATTCCTGAGCTCGCGGTACTCCTGGGAAATGGCGCAGAGCGGACAGCACCAGTGCATCCAAAAGTCGCCACAGGGCTTTGCTGGAAGGTCGTACCTCGCCCTCAGCGATTCTCGGTACTCTGAGTATGGAGGGAGTGTGGGGGGAACGGAGAGAGGCAGGGAGGGAGAGAGGAGGGAGGGAGGGAGGGAGGGAGGGAGGGAGGGCGGGAGCGGGGGAGCTAGGGAGAGAGAGAGGGAGGGAAGGGAGGAGGGAGGGAGAGAGGGAGGGAAGAAGGGAGCCAAAGGTTTCGTAATGTACGTATAATTGCGTATATTGTACGCCCATAGAAACGAAGAGGAGCCTGTTTGCTACGGGATGCAATGCAAGTTATGGATTCTTACAAAAGAAAGCCATGTGATAAAAGTTAGGTTTTGAGACGTCTCAAAGCTCAAATTTTGTCAAAGGGATGCAAGAGAGGCGGGGAAAGAAATGGAGAGAGTGGGAGAGAGTGGGAGAGAGTGGGAGAGAGTGGGAGAGAGTAGTATCTGTGGCCACGCAGCAGCCGCTGAAGCAGGGGCACTAGGCGATGCACCAGAAGACCTTTCAAGTTGGCTAAGAAAACATCCAGTAAACTCACAAGTCACCTCAGAAGGAAAGAGAGAGAGAGAGAGTGGGAGGGAGTGAGAGTGGTTGGGAGAGTGGGAAAGTGTGGGAGAGAGTAGCACCTGTGGCCACGCAGCAGCCGCTGAAACAGAGGCACTGGGCGATGCACCAGAAAATGCAGAATTCACTCGCTTCTGCGATTCACAGAACACGAAGCATTGCACCATGAGTCAGTCGTCGCACATCAGACCAGATTAGATCAGATCAGATCAGATCAGATCAGAGACGAGAACGGTAATGACTTTGCCACTCTGTTACGAAAAACAAGCACTCTGGGAAGATTTGCTGGAGGTAAAATATTGAGAGCGAATTTCGAGCATTAAAAAAAAAAACCTTCAGAGCTTGCTGCATTTCGATTTTTCTTAATTGCCAAACAATAATGGTGCTTCGTCAAGAGTGTGACGCCTTTCGGACGGTTGGCAGATGTCGTTATCATGCCATTCTTAAACGTGCTATTCTTGACCATGACATCCGTGTGATCATGACATCCGTGTGATCATGACATCCGTGATCATGACATCCGTGATCATGACACCCGTGATCATGCCATTCGTGATCATGACATCCGTGATCATGCCATTCGTGATCATGCCATCCGTGATCATGACATCCATGATCATGACATTCGTGATCATGACATTCGTGATCATGACATCCGTGATCATGCCATTTGTGATAATGACACCCGTGATCATGCCATTCGTGATCATGACATCCGTGGTCATGCCATTCGTGATCATGACATTCGTGATCATGACATTCGTGATCATGCCATTCGTGATCATGACATTCGTGATCATGCCATTCGTGATCATGCCATTCGTGATCATGCCATTCGTGATCATGCCATTCGTGATCATGCCATTCGTGATCACGATCTGAGTTCGCCTTGGCCTCTCGGCGGACCGCGGGATGTCGTAGCGAGGTGCGGAAAACGCAGTCGTCACACGAGGGATCCCCGAAATTGGCGGATCAAATACAGCCGCCACGACTACGACTCGTCGTAGCTTCGCAGCGGCGAGATTTTTTTAGCCTCAATCAGGTTTTGAGTCGAGTAAGTAATATCTAGCTGCAATCGGGGATACAGGCGAAGAGGTCGTTTGCGAAAGGGCCGATCAGTTCAAATGAGTTGAGTCGTAAAGTTCAGGAGAGTGCTCCAATCGTTAGACCCAGGAAAAAAAAAAAAACGAAGGAAACAAAGGACTGGATTTAATAGGTTACCTTTTTCCCCTGCTTCCACGATGTTAGCAACTCGGCCAATGGCTATACAAGGACAGCAAAAGACGAAACAGCCTGTAACATCATGGACGCGGGGAGAAGGATCAGCGGGCTAGTAATGAAGAACGAAACGTTGTGCTTCTCTGTGTGTTAATTGAGAACGTAGCGAATCGGCCAAAGGCTACGCAGGGACACCGAAAGACGAGACAGCCTGTAACACCATGGACTCCATGTGATGCTACGAGGATGCCAGGAATGAGCAAAAGTATTGCTCTATGATGTGTTTAAGGAGAACGTGCAAGTTACATGATCGCATATCTTCGAAAAAGCCGCACCAGCCAGTGGTCCATTGACCCAACTCGGGGTAATCGCCTTCCGCCATGCCGTTTAATCAACTAAACAAGACACTGGTTCTCGAAGGTAGCGAGCTAACTGAAAACTACTCCCGAAAATGGAAAGGTGTGCAAATATAGCAGACGATGCAAATGCAAAACATATGTGCCCAGCACTGGCATCGGGTGCGGCAGAAATTTCGAGCGCGAAGCGAGGGAGTTGAACAATCGGTTTGGGAGGACTGATGGGATGGGGCAGCTTCGGCAAGGAATCGCGGCGCGACACAACGGGAATCTTGCAAGCTCCAGTTCCGCTTGCCTCGCTGGGTGTGACGATTTCGGTATTGTACAGAGGATCAAACAATTTATAAGGAACAAAAGAATACACTAAGCCAGCCTAGGTAGTGTACAGATGCTTCCCATAGTGTGTTTTTTCATGCACTCAGAGTATTGCCACTTCATACATCTGTTCTCCTCGTGGGCCCAACACATTTCCAAACCCTTAAGGTTCTATCAGAGAGAACAGACGAGAGGGGCTCAAATAGGTTGCTGAGAGCAACACAGTGGAGGCTTAGACTTATTGCTCATTGCAATTCTTCTTCGCTCCTCATTCTCCCTTTATCCTCCTCGCAGGCCCAGCAGCATCTTTCCGGTCCCAAAGCGTCCTACCAGAGAGAACGGACGAAAGGCGCTCAAAGAGAGTCCTGCGACCAGCCAACGGCATGAGAAGCAAAGAGTCAATCAATGCTCTCATTGCAACCTAGTTTTGAGTCGACTCAAAACTAGACTCAAAACTAGGCGCTCAAAGAGAGTCTTGCGACCGACAAACACCACGAGAAGCAAAGAATCAATGCTCATTGCAACCACTTGAAGCAAATTTGTCGAAAGGAAGGGGGGATGGAGGGGAGGGGAAGGGGAGGGGGGGGCAGGAGGGAGGAAATCATGAAGCCAGGAGGAGATTTCAGTGGAGAGGGAAGGGCGAGGACAGGCAATGTCAATCACCCATGTACTCACATATGAGTGTATTCTGCACGATTGAGTTGCCTCAGAAATGAAACTGATCACCTGTAATCTCATCTCACCGTGTGACCGCTAGCTCCATTAATCGCTGCATCACACGTGGCAATGAGGTGACTTTTGAGTTGCCTCAGAAATGAACCTGATGACTTTTGAGTCGACTCAAAGTCACCTGGAAATGAACCTGATCAATTGAGTGTATTCTCACCGTGTGACTCCTTGCTCATTGATCGCTTCATCACACGTGGCAATTTCTGAGACATCTAAGAAATCGACAATGATGACCACACGTACACTTATCACCATGTGAGTGCTTGCTGCACTTTTGAGTTGACTTAGTGAAGTCAGCCAGATCACCTGACGGTTTATAGGCACCTGAAAAGACACCTGACCACATGTGTACTCACCATGCAAGTGCTTGTTGCACTTTTGAGTCCACGCAAAAAAATCAACCTGCTCACCTGATGTTTTACGCACCTGAAAAGTCACCTGACCACATGTATACTCACCATGTGAGTGCTTGCTGCATTGATCGCTTCAGCACACGCGGGACCACCCCTCGAAAGAAACCCGGAAGGCCCTGCGACTGTGTGGGAGGGGGAGAGAGGAGGAGGGACACGGGGGGGGGGGGGGAGGAGGGGACGGATGGAACATAGGCGATGGATGGGATGGAAGGGGCCAAAAGCGCGATACACACGTGGCACCACCCCTAGGAAGAAACCTGGAAGGCCCTGAGACTGTAGGAAGGGGGAGGGAGAGAGCAGAGGAGATGGGGGACATGGGGGGGGGGAGGGAACAGAGGAGATGGGGGACCGAGAAGTGGGGGGGGAGGGGACGGATGGAACAGAGACGCCTCAAAAGACTTGGATGGGATGGAAGGGACCAAACACGCGAAACAAGAAGCGACTATTGAGGCGCCTCATAAGGCATATAGTGATTTCACAATCCTCGCTTATCCAACCTACCTTGTAAATGGCTGACGTGGCACCGAGCATGGTCAGGGGCTTGCCAGGTGTCGCATGCAGAGTGGCCAGCTGCAGGTGGGTTCGCACCTGAAAATGGGACGGGGACGCAAACACACATGCGAGGAGAAGGGCATGTGGGAGCCAAATGAGCATAAGTCACCTTTTGAGGACTTGCCATGTCTTACCCTCAGAAGTCGTCTATGAGAAGAGCTGGCTTTTGACAATTCCCACAAACAGCATGTCGGGACCTCTTTTTTTTTTTTTTTTTTTTTTTTTTTTTTTTTTTTTTTTTTTTTTTTTTTGTGTCAGGACCAAAGTAGCACACATGAACCGTATGGGGAAAACGAGAAGAGGTTGCACCAAACCAAACATCACAGATGCAACCAGTGGGCACCAAACCAAACATCACAGATGCAACAAGTGGGCACCAAACCAGCAGAAAGATGCACTGGGTGTGGAAGAGGGGTGAACAGACGAATGTGAGCTGGGGTGTGTCCTCGACGCGCTTAGTCATGTGCTTTGGCAATATCCAACGCGAGAATAGATTGCTCGCAATGCTCAACGTGCAATGGTCAAAGCTCAATCCTCAGTGCTCAATGCTGCTGTTGAGTCGACTCAGAAGCAGTGCTCAATGCTCCTCAATGCTCACCACATCAGGCGGGTGGGTCAGAATGGTTGCGAGGGCCCCTGCTGCTGCCCCTGTGATTTAGTTCGAAGACAAGCAGGGAGGGGGCATGGGGGCATGGAAAGAGGCAGGTAAAAATTTCTTATGAGTCGACTAAAAAAAAGTGGGTGGGTCAAAATGGTTGCGAGGGCCCCTGCTGCTGCCCCTGTGAATGGGTTCAAAGACAAGCAGGGAGGGGATATGAAGGCAGGAAGGGAGGCAGACAGATTTTCGGAGCAGACCTGCTAGCAATGTGACACCAGGGTGTTGAGTTGACTCTACAGGAAAGCTTCTTTAGGGCGTAAAAAATCGGCAGGCAGATAGATTTTCGGAGCAGACCTGCTAGCAATGTGACACAAGGGTGTTGACTCAACGGGAAAACCAGGCAAGAGGAACTAAGGGCCTGTGGAAGACATAGGTGTCTCAAGAAGAGGTAAGCAAGAGCAAATACGGACCATAGGGGGCCACCATGCTTGCTGAATTTGTCTAAGACAGAAGAGACGGTGGCATGAACCCACCCTACCCCACCCCACCCCACCCCATCCCACCCCACCCCACCCCACCCCAGCCCACTCCACTCCACCCCAACCGGCTCCACACACCTGCTGCCATGGTAGACACCGCGCGCTGCATGGCCATCGTCTGTGGAGATGTGAAACTTGAACTGTGAGATAAATCAGGGGTAACCCACCCCCACCCCACTGAACCTCATCCCACCAAACCCCACCCCATGCCACATGCAACCTGCTGCCATGGTGGATACTGTGCACGCTGCATGGCCATCATCCGTTGAGATGTGAAACTTGAACCCTGAAATAATACAGGGTAACCCACCCCACCCCACTACACCTCATAAAAACCAAACCCCACCGCATCCCATCCCACTCCACACACCTGCTGCCATGGTGGACACTGTACGCACTGCATGCCCATCATCGGTTGAGATGCGATCTGATGGGCAGACAGAGAGACAGGGAGAGAGGCAGGGAGAGAGGCAGGAAGGGGTGAGAGGGGGTGTTTTGAGACGTCTCAAAACACTACTTTTATCACGAGGGGCAGGGAGAGAGGCGGAGAGAGAGGCAGGGAGGGAGGCAGGGAGGGAGGCAGGGAGGGGGGGAAGGGGGCATAGGTATGGGGGCAGAAGGGTGGGAATGAGAGGCCTATGGGGGCAGAAGGGTGGGAATGAGAGGCCTATGGGGGCAGAAGGGTGGGAATGAGAGGCCTATGGGGGCAGAAGGGTGGGAATGAGAGGCCTGTGTTGTGCGCGCTGCGTGTCCATCGTCAGCCGAGATGCGATCTGTTGGTCAGACAGAGAGAGGGAATGGGATATGGAGGATGGCGAATGTCGGATGGAGGCGAGAATAGAGGCGGGCGCTTACATTGCCATTCACACGTACATACGCTACTCACACGTACATACATAGCCCTAACTAAGGACACACACATTATCATACAGATACCACGTACCATAAAAAACCATGCATTGACGTACAGGTACATGCATTACCCTAAACACATATACACATACACTACCGGACGAGCACATATCCTTAATCAAACAAGGTCACATACAGTACCGTCCGAGCACATACACTTAATGGCACATTCATTTAATGGCACATACACTTAATGGCACATTCATTTAATGGCACATACACTTAATGGCACATTCATTTAATGGCACATACACTTAATGGCACATTCATTCAATGGCACATACACTTAATGGCACATTCATTTAATGGCACATACACTTAATGGCACATTCATTTAATGGCACATACACTTAATGGCACATTCATTTAATGGCACATACACTTAATGGCACATTCATTTAATGGCACATACACTTAATGGCACATACACTTAATGGCACACTCACTTAATGACACATACATATCCTACCTACCCTACCCAAGGCCACATACATTACCATGGATGAGGGAACGCATGCGGGAATAGAGTACGAGATAAATCCCAGAATAGGGTGCATCTCTTAAAAGGGTGCTCCCCAATCCTCGATATAAGCCTGCAAACGACGAGAAGCACCACAGATAACAGAGACGCGTGTAACTGACACAGAATCTTCAAGACCATCAAGTAAAATATATACTGAAAAAAACAGCACTAAAGTTTTTTGCACCATAAACATACATAAACATGAACCAAAACTGCAAATAGGTGTTCAACGTTCTGCTTTTACCTGCTATTCCTTCTGACCTTGCGATTGACATTAATCCTCCAAGCGTCCCTTTATAAGACTCTCCGCTCACTGCAGAAAACTGCACTGTAGGAAGGGGGACGGGACAATCACACACACACACACACACAGAAAAATCAGACTGAATACTTGATTATTCCAGGTACACCACTGGACATTGAGTTGACTCGAAAATAGACCCATTACACTAGAAAGTAACAAGAGCCCTCACCTCCCCCACTCACCAGCCCTCGTTTTTAAAACGTCTCAAAAACTCACTTCTTACACGTAATTACCACTAGAATGTAACAAAAGCCTTCACCTCCCCATTCAACCCCGTCTCAAAAGCTCACTTCTTACACGTAATTACCACTAGGATGTAACAAAAGCATTCACCTCCCCATTCAACTCCGTCTCAAAAGCTCACTTCTTACACGTAACTACCACTAGGATGTAACAAGAGCCCTCACCTCCCCATTCACCTCCCTCGTTCGCCTTCCCCTCACCTCCATGCGTGTCTTCACCACGGTCACGGGGCACAGCGCAGCGGCAGCTACCAGCGCACAGACAACCGCACTAATCCCCGGCCCCGTATCCCTCCCCTTACTCACCTCCATGCGTGTCTTCACCACGGTCACGGGGCACAGAGCCGCCGCAGCCACAGCAGCAGCAGCAGCAGCAGCAGCGGCGGCGGCGGCGGCGGCGGCAGCAGCAGCAGCAGCAGCAGCCGGCGCACGCTCCAACATCTCTGTAGTACTCATACACAGAAGCACTATCTAATTCATTTTTGCCCCGTACCTCCCCCGTCACCCCCTTCACCTCTATGCATGTCTTCTTCACCACGGACACAGGGCACAGCGCAGCAGCAGGCCAGCAATCGCGTTTCAACGTCTGTGCACTCACCAACAAAATCACGCTGTGACTTTTGAGTCGACTCAAAAGTAACGTCTGTGCACTCACCAACAAAATCACGAGGTGACTTTTGAGTCGACTCAAAAGTAACGTCTGTGCACTCACCAACAAAATCAAGAGGTGACTTTTGAGTCGACTCAAAAGTAACGTCTGTGCACTCACCAACAAAATCACGCGGTGACTTTTGAGTCGACTCAAAAGTAACGTCTGTGCACTCACCAACAAAATCACGCCGTGACTTTTGAGTCGACTCAAAAGTAACATCTGTGCACTCACCAACAAAATCACGAGGTGACTTTTGAGTCGACTCAAAAGTAACGTATGTGCACTCACCAACAAAATCACGACGTGACTTTTGAGTCGACTCAAAAGTAACGTCTGTGCACTCACCAACAAAATCACGAGGTGACTTTTGAGTCGACTCAAAAGTAACGTCTGTGCACTCACCAACAAAATCACGAGGTGACTTTTGAGTCGACTCAAAAGTAACGTCTGTGCACTCACCAACAAAATCACGAGGTGAATTTTGAGTCGACTCAAAAGTAACGTCTGTGCACTCACCAACAAAATCACGAGGTGACTTGTCGACTCAAAAGTAACGTCTGTGCACTCACCAACAAAATCACGCGGTGACTTTTGAGTCGACTCAAAAGTAACGTCAGTGCACTCACCAACAAAATCACGAGGTGACTTTTGAGTCGACTCAAAAGTAACGTCTGTGCACTCACCCGACTCAAAAGTAACGTCTGTGCACCAACAAAATCACGAGGTGACTTTTGAGTCGACTCAAAAGTAACGTCTGTGCACTCACCAACAAAATCACGAGGTGACTTTTGAGTCGACTCAAAAGTAACGTCTGTGCACTCACCAACAAAATCACGAGGTGACTTTTGAGTCGACTCAAAAGTAACGTCTGTGCACTCACCAACAAAATCACGAGGTGACTTTTGAGTCGACTCAAAAGTAACGTCTGTGCACTCACCAACAAAATCACGAGGTGACTTTTGAGTCGACTCAAAAGTAACGTCTGTGCACTCACCAACAAAATCACGAGGTGACTTTTGAGTCGACTCAAAAGTAACGTCTGTGCACTCACCAACAAAATCACGAGGTGACTTTTGAGTCGACTCAAAAGTAACGTCTGTGCACTCACCAACAAAATCACGAGGTGACTTTTGAGTCGACTCAAAAGTAACGTCTGTGCACTCACCAACAAAATCACGAGGTGACTTTTGAGTCGACTCAAAAGTAACGTCTGTGCACTCACCAACAAAATCACGAGGTGACTTTTGAGTCGACTCAAAAGTAACGTCTGTGCACTCACCAACAAAATCACGAGGTGACTTTTGAGTCGACTCAAAAGTAACGTCTGTGCACTCACCAACAAAATCACGAGGTGACTTTTGAGTCGACTCAAAAGTAACGTCTGTGCACTCACCAACAAAATCACGACGTGACTTTTGAGTCGACTCAAAAGTAACGTCTGTGCACTCACCAACAAAATCACGAGGTGACTTTTGAGTCGACTCAAAAGTAACGTCTGTGCACTCACCAACAAAATCACGAGGTGACTTTTGAGTCGACTCAAAAGTAACGTCGGTGCACTCACCAACAAAATCACGAGGTGACTTTTGAGTCGACTCAAAAGTAACGTCTGTGCACTCACCAACAAAATCACGACGTGACTTTTGAGTCGACTCAAAAGTAACGTCTGTGCACTCACCAACAAAATCACGCGGTGACTTTTGAGTCGACTCAAAAGTAACGTCTGTGCACTCACCAACAAAATCACGAGGTGACTTTTGAGTCGACTCAAAAGTAACGTCTGTGCACCAACAAAATCACGAGGTGACTTTTGAGTCGACTCAAAAGTAACGTCTGTGCACTCACCAACAAAATCACGCTCTCCCCTGAAACCAACCCCCTTCTTCCGCCCTCCCCCAACCCCTTCCCCTCACCTCCATGCGTGTTTTCACCACAGACACGGGGCACAGCGCAGCAGCAGCAGCCAGCGATCGCGCGTTTCAAAATCTGTGTACTCGTGCAGAGAAGCACGAATTCATCTCCCGTCCCCCGTCGTCATCCCCCTCACCTCCATGCGTGTTTTCACCACAGAAACAGGGCACAGCGCAGCAGCAGCGAGCGATCGCGAAACCACCGCCGCCATAAACGTAACACGCGACGAGAACTGCGGAGCACCTGCAACCTTCCCCCCATCCCCACCTGGCAAACCCTCATACTCCTCCTCCTCTCCCCCACCTTCCTCCCTCCCCTTCAGCCTCCGCCTCCGCCTCCGGTTCTCCTCCACGGTATTCTCTAGGGCGGCGAGAGCGTGCATGGCCGGATCCAACGTGGCAAAGAACAGCCCGAGGCCCAGCCCGAGCCGCACGCACGTGGGTCCCGTGCCGCGCCAGAGCCCTCTCACGCCCTCCTTTCGGAGAATCAGCCGCACCACGTGGCCCATGCTCGGCTGTAGCGGCGGCGCGGTTACTGCTGCGGCTAGGGCTTTTCTAGTGGCGGCGGTTGCGGCGGTGGTGGCGGCAGTGGCGGCGGTAGTTGCGGCGGCGGTGCTAGCTGGGTTTGTGGCTGGGTTTGTGGCGGCGGCTGTAGCTGCGGTTGCGGCGGCTGTAGCTGCGGTTGTAGCAGCGCTTGCAGTGAGGCCTATAGCCGCGTTTACCGCTGCCGATTTTAGCGATCGAGCACCCACGTCTTTTGCGGCTGATGCTGCTGATGTTGATGCCATTTTTCCAACGGACGGTGAGGATGATCCCTGCAGATGCGTTCGGATCACATCGAACGGCTGCAGCAGAACGCCTGTAATGAGCCCCGTTGTCGCTCCCCACAGGAAATTACCGCCAATTTTCCGTTTTTTTCCGGATCCTGACACGCTCGAATCATGATTCTTTACGGAAGCAGGATTGCTATTGCCTGGTGTTGCCGTCGAATCGCTAGCTGAGCTATCGCCTGCTGCTGTAGAAGAAGCCATGGCCGAAGTAGAAGTATTCTTAGACAGCCGACCTGCACAGAAGTTATTTTTTGTTTAGAAGAAGATGTGGATAGCAGTCTACCACGGGCAGCTATCAGAAGCGTTTGATGTTTGATCGCAATACGCAATCGCGAAACAAAGCAGGTGCAGCAGCGAGCGACAGGCAAGCGACGAGGGGAGGGGTGAAGAGGGCTTTTGCAGGCCGCAAACAACGGGCAATCGAAGCAGTCGTGCACTAATATGGCACAGAAAGGAGACTCAAGGGTGCGTCAGATCCGTTACAAGGTGATTTGGTTGGAATTTAGTCGACAATTTGGTCGGCAAAGTCTTTCGCCAAAGTCGACAACATGGTCGACTTAAAAAACGACCAATATCCGGCCACATTTGCAGGGCCGAAAAATCTGACACATTTGGTGGCCGATTTGCAGGCCGCTTTGCAAATGTGTCAGATTAGCAGGTCGCGAGGGTAGCCGGATTGTACGACGCAGTCGCAGATCCAGTACTTGTGTGACACGTTGCGTCGCACGAGCTGACGACGTCGCGTAGTTACTGTAACGATCTCTGGTCGACCGATCGGTCGACTTTCGAGTCAACTGCACGTCGGAACTTTGTCAAATGCTGAACCGGCCATCAATTTTTTTACAAATGGCCGGATCTGGCGTTCTCGCGAATGTCGCAAATGCGTTACCTTCGCTAACTCCGGCCGGCCAGATTTTTTCGATAACGGATCTGACGCGCCCTAAGCGGTTTTTGTGATCTCACACACAGCCAGCCTGTTCCAGCGAGGGTGCACAAGCTCTTCATCCTTGGTTGCAGAAAGCTCTGTGTTGAATGACCGCAACTGCGCGAAATCGACCATTCTTCGCGCGTGCATTTTCATTTTCGTCGAACCCTTCAAAAAACTCGCCCGCCGTCGATTGGGTTGAAATCTGTCCCCTCCCTTGGATATTTGTATTTCCGAGGAGCTTGGAGTGGTGTTGAGGTTTGTACGTGTCTGCCTGCGTGAGACTTCGATCGTCGATCGGACGGTTCTGGTGGACGAGACGTGCTTGCATGACCCAAACCACAGCGTGTCGTGACTCGTGAGGCGACACTCGTCAGCTTGGTAACCCTGGAATCGCATAACTCGTCCTGCTAAGTTTCCTGAGTTGTCGCACTAAGTTTCCTGTCTTATGGGCGGAAGGCCGGAAACTGTCCCCAAATAGCAATGAAGTTCCCCTAAGAACGCTGGGTCGACAGTAAATGTCCCTCATAATCTGAAAACCCATGATGAGGGCGATGAAATCTCTCCTCTTTTCGCTCGCTCCCCCGGCTTGCTTTGCTGGCTGGTGGTGGCGTCTGCCCTCGCCCACCGACACACATGATGGCATTAAAGTGTGCTTCATCAGACCCATTCGTGCAGTGCGGTTAAGCTAGTTTCCCCGCGTTTCATCACGGTTCTCATGGTTCGTCACGGTTCTTGGGGTGCTTTTTGGAACGCAAAACAACAAATCAAACCTGTATGCGGTTTACACCTTCTCGAACACCACCTATTCTCCTCTTGTCTTGTGACTTGTCGCCCTCCTTGCCTTGCCATCTACTATTCCTTTTCTTCACCTTTCAAACAGATTGTCTTGATTGGTGTTTTTTCACATTATCGTCCCAGGCCCAACCACAAGTTCTGGAGCAGCAACGCAACACTCCCGCGCATTATTGCCACCACCTAAGATACAATCAGTCTTGAACGTGCGCGACATCATTTAGGATTTCGGTCGTCGATTTTAACTTGCTCCCCGACGTTATCAGACTCGTCAGCCCTAACTTATTCGAAGGCATTTTTTCCTGATCTGTTCGGCTATGACTCGTTAAGTCGCCTAATAAGCTCAGGTTGTTTCATATGGACGCACAAAGGTATGGAGCCTCTCCTGTAATTTAAAGTAATGCTTTATCCCGCATATTGTTCCGACATTCTATTTCTTAGGAATCTATTTGTGTTTGTAATGAATATCGACGAAGAACGAGAATATGGAACAAGATTGCCTTGTCTTAATCTTATTTTCTTCTGATCGAGTCCTTGGTTTAACTTCGTGGGCTTCAACCGTGTTGGAGACAGAAATATAGAACGAATATTAATAGGGGCCACTGCAATGCAGCGACGAATGCCCTTGTTGCCAATGCAATGCAGTTATGCCACGGTTGGCTTGTGAAGAAACAAAGAAAGGAAGGAAGAAATGAATGAAAAAAAAAAAAAACAAAACAAAAAACAAAAAAAACGAAAACCGTTCATCATGAAAGTAGTGAAAACGGCATGACAATCGACGCTCTTTGTTCGCGGCTGCTGGTTGCGCAAACTACATCTCTACCTTCTACGCTGCAAACTCTCTGCAAATTCTTTTCCACATCTTTTTTTTTTCTGCCCAGATCTCGCGAGAGATTCGCGCGGCTGTTGGCGGGGGACGCGGATGGCGCGCAGCAGCTCGGCGCGCAGCAGCAGGGGGCGAGTGGAGAGTCGTCCAGGGACGGCAATGACAGCACGGATCCGCTGCCGCTGGCCATGCTGACGTGGCACGAGGACATCACATACGCGGTAAGAACAGGGCGGAAAGACGAGCGGAGCTTCCCGACTAGTTTTCTCTCCTCCAAATCTGGCATTCGCTGTTGGCACAAACAACCGATGGATAGGCGCTTGTTCAAACCGTTACAACTCAGCTTAGTGAATCGCACTCAAACGTTCAATCGTTTGTTCCCCCTTCCCTCCCTCTCTCCTACTCCGACTTCCCTTCCTACTCTCCCATCCCTCTCCTTTCCTCCCCCCGCCGTGGAGCCACGTCTACGTGCAGATCTTCTGACAGTCTTGAGTCGACTCAAAAGTAGTCAGTGTGCTTGTTCCTTCCCGATCCTTTTTCCCTCCCTCCCCTGCTCAATCCCTCCTCCCTCCTTCCCACCCCTCTTCCCTCCCTGTTCCCCCCCTCTTCCCCTCATTTCATCCAACTCCCCATGCCCCCACCTTCTTCCCGCCTCGCCTCCCTTTCCCCAGCTCTGCGCGTACCCAGACGACTTTTGAGGCGCCTCAAAAGTCTGCGCGTACCCAGACGAGCTCTGCCAGCAGCATACCGCACCAGGCGCAGCGCAGGATCATGCCTCGTCACGCACGCACTGAGCTCGCTTCCCTGTCCTCCCCCACTCCTTCTCACCCCCCTCCTCCCCAGCTCTGCGCGTACTCAGACGAGCTCTGCCAGCGGCATACCGCACCAGGCGCAGCAGCATCGTCAGGCCCGTACAAAGCTCTCATTCTATGCGTTCTGTTTACCTCCCCTTCCCCTCTCTCTCGTCTCTTCTTCCTCTCCCCAGCTCTGCGCGTACCCAGACGAGCTCTGCCAGCAGCATACCACGCCAGGCGCAGCAGCAGCAGGAGCAGCAGCAGCAGCAGCAGCAGCCGCAACAGATGGTGCGGCGATACAGGGAAATGCCGAGGCTGGGAGTCTAGAGGCTGGGAATGCCGAGGCTGGGAGTGCCGAGGCTGGGAACACAGAGGAAGCAGGGGCGACAGGCAAAGCAGGAGGCGAAGCGGGCCACCAGGGTTCGATTCCTGCCGCTGTCAAAGCAGCAGTGCTGTCGGAACTTCATAGCAACGGCTATCTCAAGGCATTCCAGGCGCTTGTGTCTGAGGGTCAGGGGCTGGTACAGCAGGCGCGGGGGAGTTTGGGGGAACGGGCGGAAGGGGAAGGATCCGGGGAGGGGGAAGGAACGGGGGCGGGGGAGAAGCGGGGGTATCTGATGGCGGAGGGGGGGTGGCGGGGGGAGATGGCGCTTCCGCTGCTGGATATGTTTGGAACGGTGCACAGGCTGAAAGGGAAGGTGGCGGAGTGGGTGGGGGGGTGCGAGCGGGTGTCGCGAAGCGGGAAGGGCTGTGGGGACGCGAGTGGGGGCGCTAGTGGGGAGGCGGGTGGGGAAGCGAGCGAGGGCGCGGGGGCGGGGGCGGGGGAGGCGGAGGCGGCGGGGGAGGGGGAGCGGGCGTGGGAGCAGTTGGAGGAGGAGGTAACAGTGGCAGCCATGGCCGCGCTGCAGGCGGGCAGGGACGACATCATGGCGGAGATCAGAGCCGTGGCGGCGGAATGCACGCAGCTTCAAGCTGTGGCGGGCGGGTGAGTGTGGGGGAGGGGAGGGGGGGTTAGCGGGCAGGTGCGTGTGGTTTGGCTTTGAAACGGGTGTGTCTAGGCTGTGGTAGGGCGCCCAGAGCGATGGGTGCGATGGGTGCGATGGGTGCGCTGCAGGCGGGCAGGGGTGACATCATGGCGGAGATCTGAGCCGTGGCGGCGGAATGCATGCAGCTGCAAGCCGTAGCGGGCGGGTGAGTGGGTTGGAGGGGGAGAGGAGGTGGGGTTAGCGGGCAGGTTAGTGTGGTTTGGCGTTGAAACGGATGTCTCTGGGCTTTAGTAGGGAGCTCAGTCAGCTTGCGCCGGCACTACAGAAAGGATTTTTGAGGGCCCCCTCGAAAATGGTTTGGCGTTGAAACGGGTGTCTGTCTGGCTGGGCTTTAGTAGGGAGCTCAGCAGCTTGCGCCGGCAGTACAGAAAGGCAGGCAAGAGGAGCGCCAAGCCCTTGGGAGGGAGGGAAGGGCGGAAAGGCAGGGGGCGGGACGGCAGTGAGCGCGCAGGCGGATTCCCTGACTGCGTTTGTGGTGAACTGCACTCATCCATATTCCCGTTCCCCCCCTTCCCTTCCCATCCCCCCCCAGCTTCAGGCAAGCAGTCACCCTGTGCCGGCAGGCAGTACAGCAAGGCAGGCAAGAGGAGCGCCAAGCCCAAGGCCTTGGGAGGGAGGGAAGGGCGGAAAGGCAGGGGGTGGCAAGCAGCTTCAAGCAAGCAGTCACCCTGTGCTGGCAGGCAGTACAGCAAGGGCAGGCACGGGGAACGGCAAGCGTCTCCACCACTCCGTCTGCCGACTCTCCCCCCCCATCTCATCCCATCCCACCCCTTCCCATTTTTTCCCAACCCCCCCAGCTTCAAGCAAGCAGTCACCCTGCGCCGGCAGTACAGCAAGGGGAGCGCCAAGCCTCTCTGTCTCTCCGTTTGCCCACTCTCCTCTTCATCCCATCCCATCCCATCCCATCCCATCCCATCCCATCCCATCCCATCCCATCCCATCCCATCCCATCCCATCCCATCCCATCCCATCCCATCCCATCCCATCCCATCCCATCCCATCCCATCCCATCCCATCCCATCCCATCCCATCCCATCCCATCTCATCCCATCCCCCCCAGCTTCAAGCAAACAGTCACCCTGCACCGCAGTACAGCAAGGGGGGCAGCGCCAAGCCTTAAGCCACCCGTTTCCCCCCTGCCACATCCCTGCCCTCCCCCCTCCCCCTCCCAATGTCCCCCAGCTTCAAGCAAGCAGTCACGCTGCGCCGGCAGTACAGCAAGGGGAGCGCCAAGCCCCTCAGCCTCTCCGTCTGCTCACTCTCCTCCCCATCCCATCCCTTCTCTCTCCCCCCCCCCCCTCCCAGCTTCAAGCAAGCAGTCACCCTGCGCCGGCAGTACAGCAAGGGGAGCGCCAAGCCACCAGGGGCGAAGAGTGGGAAGGCAGGCGGGACGGTGAGCGCGGGGGCGGACCCCCTGACCGTGTTTGTGGTGGACCGCATTCGGCAGTTCTCCAGCTGGTGAGTCTTATTGAGGCATGTCTAGGTGGTGAGTGTACTGTAGAGGGTACAAAGGCCTTCAGTCTTGCAGTGTCGCCTGACTGGCTGTTCAGGGGGCGGGACGGTGAGCGCGGGGGCGGACCCCCTGACCGTGTTTGTGGTGGACCGCATTCGGCAGTTCTCCAGCTGGTGAGTCTATTCTAGGGGGCATGGGACCATCGATTAGATTGTGATGATGGGGTATACATGGGCAACGAGTGTAGGGTTTTCACTCGACTCGTTCGAAATGCTCGTTGGGGGACGAGTGGCGAGCATGATTTTTTGGCAAAATTACTCGTCCGAGTCGAGCCGAGTAATGCTCGCCGAGCTTTTTATACTCGTCACATGCTCGTGCGCTAAGACGAGCATTTTCGTGCTCGTATTATGCTCGACGAGTTTTTTTTTGCTCGTCGAGCATGTAAAGCTTGTCGCGTAGAATTTGCCCGGGGGTCAAATTTGGCCGGAAAATTTGACCCCAGATCTGAACCCGGCAAATGTTCCCAACCACTTTGTGTATAGAATCGACAACATTTGCACATTCAACGGCTCAATGCCTAGTCGTCACCCTACCCACGCAACTCTGAGCTTAGCGCACCATGTTAGTGTCGCCAGTGGCTTGTTAAAATAGGTCGCGTTTGGTACTGTATAAGTAGGGCAACAGGTGCACGCAGATAGGGGCGAGTCGAGTATTTCGATGCTCGGGCGAGTATTCTCACATACTCGCCCGAGTATGTATCAAAACGACGAGCCTCGAGTAGGCCAAAAGTACCAAAATGCTCGTTCGAGGTTTGCTCGACTCGTGGCAAATGCTCGGCGAGCATGGCCTGTGACGAGTCGAGTATTACTCGCCTCGTCACTTTGACCATGTGTGTGATGGGGTGGTGGGGAAGGACCAACAGGTGAGCGCGGGGGCAGACCCCCCTGACCGTCTTTGTGGTGGACCGCATTCGGCAGTTCTCCAGCTGGTGAGTTGATTCAGGGGGCATTGGTTGATGGGGCATGGGTTGATGGGGCGATGGAGTGACAGGGCGATGGGATGACGGGGAAGAAGAACAGTTGGGCGGTGGACTGTGATTTGGCAGTGGTGCAGCTGGTGAGTTGATTCAAGGGCGCATCAGACCATAGGGTGGATGGGGAGGATGGTGCGATGGGGAAGAACTGGTAAGCGGGTGGGGGCGCGGACCCTCTGACTGTCTTTGTGGTGGACAGGATTGGGCAGGAGCTGTGCTGTTATCAGTAAACAGGCGGGACAGGTGGGCTGCGTAGGTCTAATGTCCATCAACTTGTTTTAGAGCGTGTTTTAGAGAGCCATTCTTTGTGGTGGACAGGATTGGGCAGGAGCTGTCATGTCAGTAACGGACAGGTGGGCTGCGGTGCGGAGAGCTTTGATTGGGCAGTTGTGCAGCTGCTGGTGAGTTGATTCAAGCGGGCGTGGGCCAAACCAAAGCGGTTATGGAGTGACGGGTGGGGAAGAACTGGTGTGCCATGCCTAACTGCCCGCACTGACACCAAGTATGCTCTACTAGGCGCACAGTATATCAGCTCCGCCCCTTCCTCCGCCCCTTCCTCCGCCTCCGCCTCATCTGAATTCTCTGTTCTCGGTTCCTCTTCCCCCTTATTCCCCCATCCCCTCCTCCCCCCATTCCCCAGGGACACCAAGCATGCGCTGCTAGGAGCACACAGCATCAGCTCCCCCCCCCCCGTCCTCCTCTTCTTCTCCTCCTCCTCCTCCTCCTCCTCCTCCTCCTCCTCCTCCTCCTCCTCCTCCTCCTCCTCCTCCTCCTCCTCCTCCTCCTCCTCCTCCTCCTCCTCCTCCTCCTCCTCCTCCGCCTCCACCTCTTCAAAAAATTCTCTTTTCAGTTCCACTTACCCCCTTTCCCCCCCTCTTCCTTCCTCGCCCCCATGCCCCCAGGGACACCAAGCACGCGCTGCTAGGAGCACACAGCATCAGCGCCGCACCCTCCTCCGCCTCTTCCAAGCGCACCTCCCTCAAGCGTCTCACCAGCACGCCGGTCAACACCAACCGCCGCTCCCTCGTGCTCCCCGCCTCCTCCGTATCCGCCACCTACCCTTCCCCCTCCCCTCCCGTTTCCATGACCCCATCCGGCTCTCCTTCCGCTGACTTGTCCTCCTCCCGTTCCGCGCCAACTCTCACATCCCCTTCCCCGTCCCCTCCCGCTGCTGCTAAGGGGGCCGGGGGGGGCGGGGGGGGTGCTGCTGCTGCTCCCAAGCCGCCTTCTCCTTCTGCTTCTGCTGCTGCTGCCAAGCCGCCTTCTCCTTCTGTTTCTGCTGCTGCTGCCAAGCCGCCTTCTCCTTGTGCTTCTGCTGGTGCTGCTGCTGCCGCCAAACCCCCTGTTTCTCCTTCCGCTGCTGCCGCTGGGGATGGAGCAGCAGCGGCAGGAGGAGAAGCAGCAGCAGCAGGTGAGCCAGTCACCACCAGCGACAGCAACAGCAGCAGCAGCAGCGCCATGGCCCTATGGTCATACGCTCAGCTCCTAGATATGATATTCGAGCGCCAGTCGGACGATCTACCCGACTGGCACGACCTAGCAACCGAGATGGTGGAGAATCTGTGGGCGGCTTTACAGGCCAAGGCCACTCTGGTGGCTGCTGCAGTGGCGGATTCAGGGGATGGGACGGATGGGGGGAAGAAGAAGGAGGAGGAGAAGCCGAAGAAGAAGAGTGGATTTTTTAAGCTGGGGTTGAAGGAGGGGAAGGAGAAGGGGAATGGAGGCGGTAAGGCTGGTGGCGGCGCCGGTGGTAAGGGGGAGAAGGTTTCGGTTCAAGAAATCTTGAGAGGGCTGTATTTATTCAACAACGCGGCCTACATTCAATCGTGAGTGGGGTTTATGGTAGGGTTGTCCACTGCCGATGGGGGTGGGAAGGGTTGTCCACTGGCGACGGCTTTCTACTGGTGATGGGTGTGTTTTGAGTCGACTCAAAACACACCTGAAGGCTTTCTACTGGTGATGGGGGTGGGACGGCCGGTGGTGGTGATGGGGGTGGGAAGGGTTGTCCACTGGCGATGGCTTTCTACTGGTGATGGGTGTGGGAAGGCCGGTGGTGGTGATGGGGGTGGGTGGGGTGGGGGTACAAGGGGAGAGGTGCAGTCTTCGAATCAACTCAGATGGGGGGGGAGGTTTAGTAGTACAGTGCTGTGTTTTGTTCTACAGTAGTAATACAGTAGATTCTGAGAGGGCTGTGTTTATTCAACAACCCGGCCTACATTCAATCGGGAGTGGCTCAAGCGGTACAGTGCAGCCTTCAATTGTAAGTTCCCACCCCACCTTAAACCCTAAACCCTGTATCCCCCCACTTCCCCCCTCCCTCCCTCCTCCCTGCAGCCTGTTCCCTGACCTGCGTATGTCAAAGGAATATTGGCAGCTCGCAGACACGCAGATAAACCCCCTTCATTCCACTCCCCACCCCTCACTTTGCAGCCTGTTCCCTGACCTGCGTATGTCAAAGGAATATTGGCAGCTCGCAGACACGCAGATAAACCCCCTTCATTCCACTCCCCACCCCTCACTTTGCAGCCTGTTCCCTGACCTGCGTATGTCAAAGGAATATTGGCAGCTCGCAGACACGCAGATAAACCCCCTTCATTCCACTCCCCACCCCTCACTTTGCAGCCTGTTCCCTGACCTGCGTATGTCAAAGGAATATTGGCAGCTCGCAGACACGCAGATAAACCCCCTTCATTCCACTCCCCACCCCTCACTTTGCAGCCTGTTCCCTGACCTGCGTATGTCAAAGGAATCCTGGCAGCTCGCAGACACGCAGATAAACCCCCTTCATTCCACTCACCACCCCTCACTTTGCAGCCTGTTCCCTGACCTGCGTATGTCAAAGGAATCCTGGCAGCTCGCAGACACGCAGATAAACCCCCTTCATTCCACTCCCCACCCCTCACTTTGCAGCCTGTTCCCTGACCTGTGTATGTCAAAGGAATATTGGCAGCTCGCAGACACGCAGATAAACCCCCTTCATTCCACTCACCACCCCTCACTTTGCAGCCTGTTCCCTGACCTGCGTATGTCAAAGGAATCCTGGCAGCTCGCAGATACGCAGATAAACCCCCTTCATTCCACTCCCCACCCCTCACTTTGCAGCCTGTTCCCTGACCTGTGTATGTCAAAGGAATATTGGCAGCTCGCAGACACGCAGATAAACCCCCTTCATTCCACTCACCACCCCTCACTTTGCAGCCTGTTCCCTGACCTGCGTATGTCAAAGGAATCCTGGCAGCTCGCAGACACGCAGATAAACCCCCTTCATTCCACTCCCCACCCCTCACTTTGCAGCCTGTTCCCTGACCTGCGTATGTCAAAGGAATCCTGGCAGCTCGCAGACACGCAGATAAACCCCCTTCATTCCACTCCCCACCCCTCACTTTGCAGCCTGTTCCCTGACCTGCGTATGTCAAAGGAATCCTGGCAGCTCGCAGACACGCAGATAAACCCCCTTCATTCCACTCCCCACCCCTCACTTTGCAGCCTGTTCCCTGACCTGCGTATGTCAAAGGAATATTGGCAGCTCGCAGACACGCAGATAAACCCCCTTCATTCCACTCACCACCCCTCACTTTGCAGCCTGTTCCCTGACCTGCGTATGTCAAAGGAATCCTGGCAGCTCGCAGACACGCAGATAAACCCCCTTCATTCCACTCACCACCCCTCACTTTGCAGCCTGTTCCCTGACCTGTGTATGTCAAAGGAATATTGGCAGCTCGCAGACACGCAGATAAACCCCCTTCATTCCACTCCCCACCCCTCACTTTGCAGCCTGTTCCCTGACCTGCGTATGTCAAAGGAATCCTGGCAGCTCGCAGACACGCAGATAAACCCCCTTCATTCCACTCACCACCCCTCACTTTGCAGCCTGTTCCCTGACCTGCGTATGTCAAAGGAATCCTGGCAGCTCGCAGACACGCAGATAAACCCCCTTCATTCCACTCCCCACCCCTCACTTTGCAGCCTGTTCCCTGACCTGCGTATGTCAAAGGAATCCTGGCAGCTCGCAGACACGCAGATAAACCCCCTTCATTCCACTCCCCACCCCTCACTTTGCAGCCTGTTCCCTGACCTGCGTATGTCAAAGGAATCCTGGCAGCTCGCAGACACGCAGATAAACCCCCTTCATTCCACTCCCCACCCCTCACTTTGCAGCCTGTTCCCTGACCTGCGTATGTCAAAGGAATCCTGGCAGCTCGCAGACACGCAGATAAACCCCCTTCATTCCACTCCCCACCCCTCACTTTGCAGCCTGTTCCCTGACCTGCGTATGTCAAAGGAATCCTGGCAGCTCGCAGACACGCAGATAAACCCCCTTCATTCCACTCCCCACCCCTCACTTTGCAGCCTGTTCCCTGACCTGCGTATGTCAAAGGAATCCTGGCAGCTCGCAGACACGCAGATAAACCCCCTTCATTCCACTCCCCACCCCTCACTTTGCAGCCTGTTCCCTGACCTGTGTATGTCAAAGGAATCCTGGCAGCTCGCAGACACGCAGATAAACCCCCTTCATTCCACTCCCCACCCCTCACTTTGCAGCCTGTTCCCTGACCTGTGTATGTCAAAGGAATATTGGCAGCTCGCAGACACGCAGATAAACCCCCTTCATTCCACTCCCCACCCCTCACTTTGCAGCCTGTTCCCTGACCTGCGTATGTCAAAGGAATCCTGGCAGCTCGCAGACACGCAGATAAACCCCCTTCATTCCACTCCCCACCCCTCACTTTGCAGCCTGTTCCCTGACCTGCGTATGTCAAAGGAATCCTGGCAGCTCGCAGACACGCAGATAAACCCCCTTCATTCCACTCCCCACCCCTCACTTTGCAGCCTGTTCCCTGACCTGTGTATGTCAAAGGAATCCTGGCAGCTCGCAGACACGCAGATAAACCCCCTTCATTCCACTCCCCACCCCTCACTTTGCAGCCTGTTCCCTGACCTGTGTATGTCAAAGGAATATTGGCAGCTCGCAGACACGCAGATAAACCCCCTTCATTCCACTCCCCACCCCTCACTTTGCAGCCTGTTCCCTGACCTGCGTATGTCAAAGGAATATTGGCAGCTCGCAGACACGCAGATAAACCCCCTTCATTCCACTCCCCACCCCTCACTTTGCAGCCTGTTCCCTGACCTGCGTATGTCAAAGGAATCCTGGCAGCTCGCAGACACGCAGATAAACCCCCTTCATTCCACTCCCCACCCCTCACTTTGCAGCCTGTTCCCTGACCTGCGTATGTCAAAGGAATCCTGGCAGCTCGCAGACACGCAGATAAACCCCCTTCATTCCACTCCCCACCCCTCACTTTGCAGCCTGTTCCCTGACCTGCGTATGTCAAAGGAATATTGGCAGCTCGCAGACACGCAGATAAACCCCCTTCATTCCACTCCCCACCCCTCACTTTGCAGCCTGTTCCCTGACCTGCGTATGTCAAAGGAATCCTGGCAGCTCGCAGACACGCAGATAAACCCCCTTCATTCCACTCCCCACCCCTCACTTTGCAGCCTGTTCCCTGACCTGTGTATGTCAAAGGAATCCTGGCAGCTCGCAGACACGCAGATAAACCCCCTTCATTCCACTCCCCACCCCTCACTTTGCAGCCTGTTCCCTGACCTGTGTATGTCAAAGGAATATTGGCAGCTCGCAGACACGCAGATAAACCCCCTTCATTCCACTCCCCACCCCTCACTTTGCAGCCTGTTCCCTGACCTGCGTATGTCAAAGGAATCCTGGCAGCTCGCAGACACGCAGATAAACCCCCTTCATTCCACTCCCCACCCCTCACTTTGCAGCCTGTTCCCTGACCTGCGTATGTCAAAGGAATCCTGGCAGCTCGCAGACACGCAGATAAACCCCCTTCATTCCACTCCCCACCCCTCACTTTGCAGCCTGTTCCCTGACCTGTGTATGTCAAAGGAATCCTGGCAGCTCGCAGACACGCAGATAAACCCCCTTCATTCCACTCCCCACCCCTCACTTTGCAGCCTGTTCCCTGACCTGTGTATGTCAAAGGAATATTGGCAGCTCGCAGACACGCAGATAAACCCCCTTCATTCCACTCCCCACCCCTCACTTTGCAGCCTGTTCCCTGACCTGCGTATGTCAAAGGAATATTGGCAGCTCGCAGACACGCAGATAAACCCCCTTCATTCCACTCCCCACCCCTCACTTTGCAGCCTGTTCCCTGACCTGCGTATGTCAAAGGAATCCTGGCAGCTCGCAGACACGCAGATAAACCCCCTTCATTCCACTCCCCACCCCTCACTTTGCAGCCTGTTCCCTGACCTGCGTATGTCAAAGGAATCCTGGCAGCTCGCAGACACGCAGATAAACCCCCTTCATTCCACTCCCCACCCCTCACTTTGCAGCCTGTTCCCTGACCTGCGTATGTCAAAGGAATATTGGCAGCTCGCAGACACGCAGATAAACCCCCTTCATTCCACTCCCCACCCCTCACTTTGCAGCCTGTTCCCTGACCTGCGTATGTCAAAGGAATCCTGGCAGCTCGCAGACACGCAGATAAACCCCCTTCATTCCACTCCCCACCCCTCACTTTGCAGCCTGTTCCCTGACCTGCGTATGTCAAAGGAATCCTGGCAGCTCGCAGACACGCAGATAAACCCCCTTCATTCCACTCCCCACCCCTCACTTTGCAGCCTGTTCCCTGACCTGCGTATGTCAAAGGAATATTGGCAGCTCGCAGACACGCAGATAAACCCCCTTCATTCCACTCCCCACCCCTCACTTTGCAGCCTGTTCCCTGACCTGCGTATGTCAAAGGAATATTGGCAGCTCGCAGACACGCAGATAAACCCCCTTCATTCCACTCCCCACCCCTCACTTTGCAGCCTGTTCCCTGACCTGCGTATGTCAAAGGAATCCTGGCAGCTCGCAGACACGCAGATAAACCCCCTTCATTCCACTCCCCACCCCTCACTTTGCAGCCTGTTCCCTGACCTGTGTATGTCAAAGGAATCCTGGCAGCTCGCAGACACGCAGATAAACCCCCTTCATTCCACTCCCCACCCCTCACTTTGCAGCCTGTTCCCTGACCTGTGTATGTCAAAGGAATATTGGCAGCTCGCAGACACGCAGATAAACCCCCTTCATTCCACTCCCCACCCCTCACTTTGCAGCCTGTTCCCTGACCTGCGTATGTCAAAGGAATATTGGCAGCTCGCAGACACGCAGATAAACCCCCTTCATTCCACTCCCCACCCCTCACTTTGCAGCCTGTTCCCTGACCTGCGTATGTCAAAGGAATCCTGGCAGCTCGCAGACACGCAGATAAACCCCCTTCATTCCACTCCCCACCCCTCACTTTGCAGCCTGTTCCCTGACCTGCGTATGTCAAAGGAATCCTGGCAGCTCGCAGACACGCAGATAAACCCCCTTCATTCCACTCCCCACCCCTCACTTTGCAGCCTGTTCCCTGACCTGCGTATGTCAAAGGAATATTGGCAGCTCGCAGACACGCAGATAAACCCCCTTCATTCCACTCCCCACCCCTCACTTTGCAGCCTGTTCCCTGACCTGCGTATGTCAAAGGAATCCTGGCAGCTCGCAGACACGCAGATAAACCCCCTTCATTCCACTCCCCACCCCTCACTTTGCAGCCTGTTCCCTGACCTGCGTATGTCAAAGGAATCCTGGCAGCTCGCAGACACGCAGATAAACCCCCTTCATTCCACTCCCCACCCCTCACTTTGCAGCCTGTTCCCTGACCTGCGTATGTCAAAGGAATATTGGCAGCTCGCAGACACGCAGATAAACCCCCTTCATTCCACTCCCCACCCCTCACTTTGCAGCCTGTTCCCTGACCTGCGTATGTCAAAGGAATATTGGCAGCTCGCAGACACGCAGATAAACCCCCTTCATTCCACTCCCCACCCCTCACTTTGCAGCCTGTTCCCTGACCTGCGTATGTCAAAGGAATCCTGGCAGCTCGCAGACACGCAGATAAACCCCCTTCATTCCACTCCCCACCCCTCACTTTGCAGCCTGTTCCCTGACCTGCGTATGTCAAAGGAATCCTGGCAGCTCGCAGACACGCAGATAAACCCCCTTCATTCCACTCCCCACCCCTCACTTTGCAGCCTGTTCCCTGACCTGCGTATGTCAAAGGAATCCTGGCAGCTCGCAGACACGCAGATAAACCCCCTTCATTCCACTCCCCACCCCTCACTTTGCAGCCTGTTCCCTGACCTGCGTATGTCAAAGGAATCCTGGCAGCTCGCAGACACGCAGATAAACCCCCTTCATTCCACTCCCCACCCCTCACTTTGCAGCCTGTTCCCTGACCTGTGTATGTCAAAGGAATCCTGGCAGCTCGCAGACACGCAGATAAACCCCCTTCATTCCACTCCCCACCCCTCACTTTGCAGCCTGTTCCCTGACCTGTGTATGTCAAAGGAATATTGGCAGCTCGCAGACACGCAGATAAACCCCCTTCATTCCACTCCCCACCCCTCACTTTGCAGCCTGTTCCCTGACCTGCGTATGTCAAAGGAATCCTGGCAGCTCGCAGACACGCAGATAAACCCCCTTCATTCCACTCCCCACCCCTCACTTTGCAGCCTGTTCCCTGACCTGCGTATGTCAAAGGAATCCTGGCAGCTCGCAGACACGCAGATAAACCCCCTTCATTCCACTCCCCACCCCTCACTTTGCAGCCTGTTCCCTGACCTGCGTATGTCAAAGGAATCCTGGCAGCTCGCAGACACGCAGATAAACCCCCTTCATTCCACTCCCCACCCCTCACTTTGCAGCCTGTTCCCTGACCTGCGTATGTCAAAGGAATCCTGGCAGCTCGCAGACACGCAGATAAACCCCCTTCATTCCACTCCCCACCCCTCACTTTGCAGCCTGTTCCCTGACCTGCGTATGTCAAAGGAATCCTGGCAGCTCGCAGACACGCAGATAAACCCCCTTCATTCCACTCCCCACCCCTCACTTTGCAGCCTGTTCCCTGACCTGCGTATGTCAAAGGAATCCTGGCAGCTCGCAGACACGCAGATAAACCCCCTTCATTCCACTCCCCACCCCTCACTTTGCAGCCTGTTCCCTGACCTGCGTATGTCAAAGGAATCCTGGCAGCTCGCAGACACGCAGATAAACCCCCTTCATTCCACTCCCCACCCCTCACTTTGCAGCCTGTTCCCTGACCTGTGTATGTCAAAGGAATCCTGGCAGCTCGCAGACACGCAGATAAACCCCCTTCATTCCACTCCCCACCCCTCACTTTGCAGCCTGTTCCCTGACCTGTGTATGTCAAAGGAATATTGGCAGCTCGCAGACACGCAGATAAACCCCCTTCATTCCACTCCCCACCCCTCACTTTGCAGCCTGTTCCCTGACCTGCGTATGTCAAAGGAATCCTGGCAGCTCGCAGACACGCAGATAAACCCCCTTCATTCCACTCCCCACCCCTCACTTTGCAGCCTGTTCCCTGACCTGCGTATGTCAAAGGAATCCTGGCAGCTCGCAGACACGCAGATAAACCCCCTTCATTCCACTCCCCACCCCTCACTTTGCAGCCTGTTCCCTGACCTGTGTATGTCAAAGGAATCCTGGCAGCTCGCAGACACGCAGATAAACCCCCTTCATTCCACTCCCCACCCCTCACTTTGCAGCCTGTTCCCTGACCTGTGTATGTCAAAGGAATATTGGCAGCTCGCAGACACGCAGATAAACCCCCTTCATTCCACTCCCCACCCCTCACTTTGCAGCCTGTTCCCTGACCTGCGTATGTCAAAGGAATATTGGCAGCTCGCAGACACGCAGATAAACCCCCTTCATTCCACTCCCCACCCCTCACTTTGCAGCCTGTTCCCTGACCTGCGTATGTCAAAGGAATCCTGGCAGCTCGCAGACACGCAGATAAACCCCCTTCATTCCACTCCCCACCCCTCACTTTGCAGCCTGTTCCCTGACCTGCGTATGTCAAAGGAATCCTGGCAGCTCGCAGACACGCAGATAAACCCCCTTCATTCCACTCCCCACCCCTCACTTTGCAGCCTGTTCCCTGACCTGCGTATGTCAAAGGAATATTGGCAGCTCGCAGACACGCAGATAAACCCCCTTCATTCCACTCCCCACCCCTCACTTTGCAGCCTGTTCCCTGACCTGCGTATGTCAAAGGAATCCTGGCAGCTCGCAGACACGCAGATAAACCCCCTTCATTCCACTCCCCACCCCTCACTTTGCAGCCTGTTCCCTGACCTGTGTATGTCAAAGGAATCCTGGCAGCTCGCAGACACGCAGATAAACCCCCTTCATTCCACTCCCCACCCCTCACTTTGCAGCCTGTTCCCTGACCTGTGTATGTCAAAGGAATATTGGCAGCTCGCAGACACGCAGATAAACCCCCTTCATTCCACTCCCCACCCCTCACTTTGCAGCCTGTTCCCTGACCTGCGTATGTCAAAGGAATCCTGGCAGCTCGCAGACACGCAGATAAACCCCCTTCATTCCACTCCCCACCCCTCACTTTGCAGCCTGTTCCCTGACCTGCGTATGTCAAAGGAATCCTGGCAGCTCGCAGACACGCAGATAAACCCCCTTCATTCCACTCCCCACCCCTCACTTTGCAGCCTGTTCCCTGACCTGTGTATGTCAAAGGAATCCTGGCAGCTCGCAGACACGCAGATAAACCCCCTTCATTCCACTCCCCACCCCTCACTTTGCAGCCTGTTCCCTGACCTGTGTATGTCAAAGGAATATTGGCAGCTCGCAGACACGCAGATAAACCCCCTTCATTCCACTCCCCACCCCTCACTTTGCAGCCTGTTCCCTGACCTGCGTATGTCAAAGGAATATTGGCAGCTCGCAGACACGCAGATAAACCCCCTTCATTCCACTCCCCACCCCTCACTTTGCAGCCTGTTCCCTGACCTGCGTATGTCAAAGGAATCCTGGCAGCTCGCAGACACGCAGATAAACCCCCTTCATTCCACTCCCCACCCCTCACTTTGCAGCCTGTTCCCTGACCTGCGTATGTCAAAGGAATCCTGGCAGCTCGCAGACACGCAGATAAACCCCCTTCATTCCACTCCCCACCCCTCACTTTGCAGCCTGTTCCCTGACCTGCGTATGTCAAAGGAATATTGGCAGCTCGCAGACACGCAGATAAACCCCCTTCATTCCACTCCCCACCCCTCACTTTGCAGCCTGTTCCCTGACCTGCGTATGTCAAAGGAATCCTGGCAGCTCGCAGACACGCAGATAAACCCCCTTCATTCCACTCCCCACCCCTCACTTTGCAGCCTGTTCCCTGACCTGCGTATGTCAAAGGAATCCTGGCAGCTCGCATACACGCAGATAAACCCCCTTCATTCCACTCCCCACCCCTCACTTTGCAGCCTGTTCCCTGACCTGCGTATGTCAAAGGAATATTGGCAGCTCGCAGACACGCAGATAAACCCCCTTCATTCCACTCCCCACCCCTCACTTTGCAGCCTGTTCCCTGACCTGCGTATGTCAAAGGAATCCTGGCAGCTCGCAGACACGCAGACAAACCCCCTTCATTCCACTCCCCACCCCTCACTTTGCAGCCTGTTCCCTGACCTGCGTATGTCAAAGGAATTCCGGCAGCTGGCAGACACGCAGATGAACCGCTTTCTAGACGTGCTGCTCAAAGATGTGAGTGGTTGGGGTGGGTTTGTGAGTGGTTGGGTGGGGCGTGGTGGGCTTATGAGTGGTGGGGTGTGGGGAGATCGACAGCTGGCAGACACCCAGATGAACCGCCTTCTAGACGTGTTGCTCAAAGATGTGAGCGGTTGGGGTGGGTTTGCTAGTGGTGTGGTGGGGTCATGCGTGGTGGAGTGGGGTGTGGAGAGGGTCGGCAGCTGGCAGACACGCAGATAAACCACTTCCTTGATGTGCTGCTGAAAGATGTGAGCGGTTGGGATGGGTGGGAGCGGGTGAGAGTGGGATTGTGAGAGGGAGAAGGTTGAGAGGGAGAGGGATGGGAGTGGGAGGGATGGGAATGGGAGGGATGGGAGGGAGAGGGGTGGGAGTGGGAGGGGTGGGAGTGGGAGGGAGAGGGGTGGGAGTGGGAGGGATGGGAGGGAGAGGGGTGGGAGTGGGAGGGATGGGAGGGAGAGGGGTGGGAGTGAGTTATCTATGCAACCTGGCAGGGTCGTTTGTGCGGGCTGTTGCTGTCTCCCTCCCTCACTAGCCCTTCTTTTTTTGAGCTTGCACGCAACCACCAATCCCCTTTCCCCCCTCGAAATAACCATCAGTCCCCGTTGCACGTGGCATGCATGCCTGCTGCGTGTTACATCTCCCTTCTCCCCCCCTCCTCCTCCCCTCCTCCTCCCCTCCCCTGCATGCACAGATGATGTCGTCCATAGGAGCACCCACCACGGGCGTTTCTCGCCCTGCTCCCTTCCTCCCCACCTCTTCCTCTTTCCTCATATCCTTTCGCTCCCTCCCCCCTCCCCTGCATGCACAGATGATGTCGTCCATCGGAGCACACGTGCTTCTCTCCTGCAACGTTCCTCCTCTCTTCCCCCTCTCTCTGCACTTCCAATCTTTCCCGCATGCTCAGATGATGTCGTCCATAGGAGCACCCACCACGTGCGTTTCTCCCGCAACGTTCCTCCTCTGCCCCTCCTTTCCCTCCTTCACCTCGCCCATGCATTCTCTTCCTCCCCTTCCGCTCTTCCCCGCATGCTCAGATGATGTCGTCCATAGGAGCACCCACCACGAACATTTCTCCAGCCGAGTTCCAGAAAAGGTACGATGGGGTTGGATGAGGTTGGATGAGGTGGGATGAGGTGGGATGAAGTGGGATGAAGTGGGATGAGGTGGGATGAAGTGGGATGAAGTGGGATGAGGTGGGATGAGGTGGGATGAAGTGGGATGAGGTGGGATGAGGTGGGATGAGGTGGGATGAAGTGGGATGAGGTGGGATGAGATGGGATGAAGTGGGATGAGGTGGGATGAGGTGAGATCAGATGCTTCAACATTCGCCGATTCCACGTGTTGGTGCCTCTCTGTCCCCGCCCCTCCCCCAGGCCCCTTTCCCCCTTTAGCCCTTTCCCCCTTTCCCCCTTTCCCCCTTTCCCCCTTCCCCCTTTCCCCCTTTCCCCCTTTCCCCCTTTCCCCCTTTCCCCTTTCCCCTTTCCCCTTTCCCCTTTCCCCCTTTACCCCTTTCCCCCTTTACCCCTTTCCCCCTTTACCCCAACTTTTCCTATTCGTCCATCCACCCCTCCCGACTCGACTCATTCAACGTGGCATTCGAAGAGCTCTGTTTCAACATGCGCCATCAAAACCCCTCTTCACTCCTCCTTGTCCCCCTTTTAAGCTCCCGTGTCGCTCCATGTGCAACCTCCAGACTTGATGCATTCAACGTGGCATTTGAAGAGCTCTGTTTCAACACCCGCCGCCTCCACCCACATGCGCCGCCTCCACCCACATGCGCCGCTTCCACCCACATGCGCCGCTTCCACCCACATGCGCCGCTTCCACCCACATGCGCCGCTTCCACCCACATGCGCCGCCTCCACCCACATGCGCCGCTTCCACCCACATGCGCCGCTTCCACCCACATGCGCCACTTCCACCCACATGCGCCGCTTCCACCCACATGCGCCGCTTCCACCCACATGCGCCGCTTCCACCCACATGCGCCGCTTCCACCCACATGCGCCGCTTCCACCCACATGCGCCGCTTCCACCCACATGCGGCGCTTCCACCCACATGCGCCGCTTCCACCCACATGCGCCGCCTCCACCCACATGCGCCGCTTCCACCCATATGCGCCGCTTCCACCCACATGCGCCGCTTCCACCCACATGCTCCGCTTCCACCCACATGCGCCGCTTCCACCCACATGCGCCGCCTCCACCCACATGCGCCGCTTCCACCCACATGCGCCGCTTCCACCCACATGCGCCGCTTCCACCCACATGCGCCGCTTCCACCCACATGCGCCGCTTCCACCCACATGCGCCGCTTCCACCCACATGTGCCGCTTCCACCCACATGCGCCGCTTCCACCCACATGCGCCGCTTCCACCCACATGCGCCGCTTCCACCCACATGCGCCGCTTCCACCCACATGTGCCGCTTCCACCCACATGCGCCGCTTCCACCCACATGCGCCGCTTCCACCCACATGCGCCGCCTCCACCCACATGCGCCGCTTCCACCCACATGCGCCGCTTCCACCCACATGCGCCGCTTCCACCCACATGCGCCGCTTCCACCCACATGCGCCGCTTCCACCCACATGCGCCGCTTCCACCCACATGCGCCGCTTTCACCCACATGCGCCGCTTCCACCCACATGCGCCGCTTCCACCCACATGCGCCGCTTCCACTCACATGCACGACTCGGTCGCTCGCACACAGAAAACCCTTTTTGCCCCCCTCACCTTCACCTTCTCCTTTTACAGCCCCCCTGTCGCCCCTTTTACAGCCCCCCTGTCGCCCCTTTTACAGCCCCCCTGTCGCCCCTTTTACAGCCCCCCGGCTTGACACAGACACTTTCAATGTCGCCTTTGAGGAGCTCTGTTTCAACACACGCCGATTCCACGTGCACGACTCGGTGCCTCTCTGTCCCCCACCCCCACCTCTCCCCACACTCCCCTCCTCCTCGTCCTCCTCTTCCCATCACCCGTTCTCCAGGCTGGATGCATTCAACGTGGCGTTTGAGGAGCTCTGTTTCAACATGCGCCGATTCCACGTGCACGACTCGGTCGCGCGCACGCAGATCCGCGGCGTATGCCACGAGCGCATCCTCTCCACCTACAAGGAGTTTCTCATGCCCTTCAGGTAACAGGCCTTTCTGGTAAACCCTCCTTTCAGGTAAATCCCCCTTTCTGGTAAACCCCCCTTTCAGGTAAATCCCCCCTTGGCACCTGGAGTAGTTGCCAGTGCTCGTCAGCTAGGGTGATTGATTCCACGTGCATGACTCTGTGGCTCGCACGCAGATCTGCGGCGTGTGTCACAAGCGCATTCTCTCCACCTACAAGGACTTCCTCATGCCCTTCAGGTGATTTGCCCTTCAGGTGATTCGCCCTTCAGGTGATTCGCCCTTCAGGTGATTTGCCCTTCAGGTGATTTGCCCTTCAGGTGATTTGCCCTTCAGGTGATTTGCCCTTCAGGTGATTTGCCCTTCAGGTGTGCACAACCCCTCTCCTCCCCCATCTGCCTCCTCCGCCTCTCCCCCACTCTTCTGGGCCACGAGCGCATCCTCTCCACCTACAAGGGGTTCCTCATGTCTTTCAGGTATCGTGCCTTTGCTACCCACTCCCCTCCCTCTCATCTGCAGCTTCACCGCCCTCCTCCTCACTCCACCTCTGTTGTTCCACGAGCTCATCATCTCCACCTACAGAACTTCTCCATGCCCTACGAGCAACTAGTGCGCTTCCCAGAGTACAGCTGCAGCTGTCAGCAGCGAGGTGACTTTTGAGTCGACTCAAGAGTCACCTTACGAGCTCATCCTCTCCACCTACAGGAGTTCCCCATGCCCTCACACAGGGAGGATCTAGTGGGCTTCTCATAATACTGCTGGTCTGTCAGCAGCGCCAAGAGAGTGGTATGCTTGGCTTTCCCATTCCACATCTTCCTTCCCCCCTGCATTCCCTGCCTCTTGTATGTCCCTGCCTTATCCCTTCAACCCTGCTGCAATCAAGCAGGGAGGATCTAGTGGGCTTCCCAGAGTACCGCTGGTCTGTCAGCAGCGCGAAGCGAGTCATGCAGAATTTCTTCATTTAAGCGCCTCTCATTACCAGGAACGGCCCATTATATCATCCTTCCTTGACGCCTCAAGGGTGGTTGAGTTCGAAAAATATCCATATTCATTATCGAGTGCTGTGGGACTAGTACTTTGGCTCACCCCAACTCTCCTCATGCTGGTTTAGTTAGCATCAACACAACATTATGTAAGGCTGTTGTATGCAAAATCAGTCCGCAGCATTGTAGAATGTAGACCACTGATGTTTATGTCTGCTTAAAACCCCTCTAAGTAATTCCATGGCAAAAAAGGGGATGTGAAGAAGCACACTTGAGCTTTTGGCTGCTGCTGGTACTGAAATTACGAGGACTTGCAATGTACACGCCATTCTCTGCTAAACATACAGTTTGCAATAACGAAATGTTGCAATCCGCGTTACAACTTAATTCGTTTTCGTGTAGTCCGCCTGGCTGGTCCTGTTGCAACCTCCTGGTGATGCTGATTGCGTAGATCCATGTGTCCGCGCCGCTTCAAGGCACGAACGTCTAGCTGCCTTCGCATGCGACGCTAGCTTAGCATCTGGCGCTAGCTCGCATCGCATGCGGCGCTACGTCCTTGAAGTTTGCGTTTAGTCCTTGGAGAAACGCATTCAGTCGTATGTTGGAGTGTGGGGAGTCGAGTCGAGACGGGGTTCGCCTAAGAAGGAGCGCGGTCGAACTCGGTTGAACGGGGTTGAACGCGGTTAAACTCGGTCAGTCGCACGTGGAGTGTCCAGACGGATTGTCAGATGTCCCGGATCGGCGTTCGAATGCTCCTCAGCGTTCGCCATGCTCCTCTTCAGATGGCGAGAGCCTGTCTCTGGCCCGCAACGTCCGCTTCAGCTTCGGGGTCGACTTGCTGTCACAGTAACAGCAATCCGAACGTGCCGATTGCTTGTCTGCATTTCATGAATCAACAACAGCAGCGGCAGCAGCAGCAGCAGCAGCAGCAACCGGCACAGAACGGATTCGTTATCTCAGCGTTAAGAACGAAACACCAGATGGCGTCTGGTCGACAGATTCCGATGCTTCTAGCGGACAGCACTGTAGCGGATCGGAATCGTCTACAGTCCTTTTCGAGCTGTGCGTCGCCGCGTAACAGTGCCGCGACCGGGCTTATATCGGGTACAGAAAGAAAAGGACGGGAAGGAAGGGAGGTGGGAGGATTGGCACGGAGGGAGACCGGAGGGGAAGGAAGGAAGGAGAGGGGTCAAGAATTGCATATGCTTTTTGAGAATTCTCAAAAAACATACGGAGGAGGGAAGGAGAGGGGTCAAGAATTGCGTGAAGGAGGAGAAGAACGAAAAGGAGAAGGAGAAGCAAAGGGAGAAGCAGCAGGAGGAGGAGGAGGAGAAGGAGAAGACGTGGTGATTGCGATCGGCGGGAACATCGGGAATCGCGTGGCGAATTTCCACCGCGCTTTGCAACTGTTGCGAGAGGTTCGTATGGGTTGGGAGGGGTGCGTCAGGGTTGAGGGGTGCAGAGCACTGCACTGAGAGGAAGACGAGGTGACTGCGATCGGCGGGAACATCGGGAATCGCGTGGCGAATTTTCACCGCGCGCTGCGACTGCTGCGAGAGGTGCGATATGGATGGTGGGGAGGGGTAAAAGGTGCGAGAAGGAAGAGAGTGAGCGGGAGCCATCTCTGAGACGTCGTCAGCCGTAAGGACTGGGTGAATGAGCTGCAGTTGGGAAAGCAGCACAGGTACAGTTGGGTGACTGGGAAAGTGCCTTCCCAACTCAGCTCAAAAGTCAGTTGGGAAAGTGCGCCTTCCCAGCTGCAGCTCAGCTCGCCCAGTCCTAAAGGCTGGCGGAGTGGGAGCGATCTCTGAGACGTCTTCTCTCCCCTCTACGTCATTTGCTGCAGGCAGGCGTGCAGGTCTACAAGCACGGCTGTCTGTACGAGTCCGCACCTGCCTATATCACCGACCAGCCTTTCTTCCTCAACTCTGCCATCCATGCAAGTCAACATGCTCCTTTCCCTACTCCTCCCCCCCCCCCCGCAAACCATGCAGGCAGGCGTGCAGGTCTACAAGCACGGCTGTCTGTACGAGTCCGCACCTGCCTATGTCACGGACCAGCCCTTTTTCCTCAACTCTGCTATTCAGGCAAGTCTCCACTCCCCACTCCCCACTCCCCACATCTCTTCCACCACTCCCCACTTCTCTTCCACCACTCCCCACTTCTCTTCCACCACTCCCCACTTCTCTTCCACCACTCCCCGCCCTCCATATGGACGTTACTTTTGAGAATTCTCAAAAGTAACATCAACATAGCTTGCCCCCCTCCACTTCTTCCCAGCTCTCAACCCGCTCAGCGCCCTCTGTTTCCACCAACCTTGTGCCTTCCTCTAAGTTGTGGAAGACGCCAGGACCATCCTGTGTGTAGCGTCTAGACGCTAGACGCAGGACGCACCCGAAGACGCTAGACACATGGAGCAAATTTTTTCGGGCAGCCCGAAAAGAAAAAATTTCGCGACATTTGAACCCCCTCCCACCCATTTCGGCCGTAGAAACCAGCCCCCAATGCATAAATTAGTATGGGAAAAATGCACCCCAAATCTGATAAACATACATGTACCCCCCCTCCCCATGCCCCATAGAAGGTTTTTTGGGCTGCCTGTACTTTTTTTTGCCTGCCCGGGCTTGCGTCTAACACAGCGTCTAATCAGCCCTGGTCGCGTGTCTAGCGTCTTAGACGCTGTGTCTTGACGCCAGCGTCTTAGACGCTAGACGCGTCTTCCGCAACTTAGGCTTCCCTCTTCCCCTGCTTTCCGTTCTTCCCCTATCTTAATCTCCTCTTCCCCTTCCCATCCCTCCCCTTCGCTTGCCTTTCCTTCCGACGCCCAAACACAGTCATGCACGACCCTTCCCCCCCACGCGCTGCTCTCTCTCCTCAAGTCAATCGAGTCAACCCTCAGGAGGAACCTCAACCCTCTAACCGCCCAGCGCTTCACCCATGTGACTTACTTCCCTTCTTCCCTTCATCCCTTCCTCCTTCCTCCCTTCCCCCTCTGCAGGCACGCACAACCCTCGCCCCTCATGCGCTGCTCTCTCTTCTCGAGTCAATCGAGTCAATCGAATCAACCCTCGGGAGGAACCTCAACCCTCTTACTGCCCAGCAGCGCTTCAACCCTCATCCTTCTTTCCCCTGCCCCCGTTTTCCCTTTTTTCCCTCTCCATCCAGCTTCTCACCCAAACACAACACGGGCCTGCACGACCCCCCCCCCCCCCCCCCCCCCCCCCCCCCCCCCGCGCCCTACTGCAGACCCGCACGATTCTTCCTCCCCCCGCACTCCTTTCTCTCCTCAAGTCAATCGAGTCAACCCTCGGGAGGAACCTCAACTCAACCCTCTAACCGCCCCACCTCCACTGTTGTGATTGACTGACTTCCCTGCTTCCCTTCCCTCCTCCACTACAGGCCCGCACCACCCTTCCCCCCCACGCGCTCCTTTCTCTCCTCAAGTCAATCGAGTCAACCCTCGGGAGGAACCTCAACCCACTCACCGCCCAGCGTTTCGGCCCCCGCCCCCTAGATCTGGATTTGATCTTCTACGGATCTGCAACCATCCGCCCTGACCAAAACATTCCTGCTGCAACTGGTGGTGCTGGTGCTTCTTCTGCCGGTGCTGCTGCTGCTGACCCTGCTGCTTCTGCTTCTGCTGCTGCTCCTCCAGCTGCTGCTTCTGCCACTGAAGCTGCTGCTGCGACCACCCCGCTCGACCTCATTGTTCCACACCCGTGCTTAGCTGAGAGGCTCTTTGTGCTGGCCCCTGTGGCGGACCTGCTGGGGTCCGCTCAGCCTGACGCCCCTGGAGACGAAGAGGCGCCTTCCTGGGTGTTTCACGAGGCTTTTGGGAAGGCTGGCGTGCCAGGGTAAGTGTGTCTGAGGCTCGTAGTGAGCTCAGTTGAGAGACTCTTTGTGCTGGCCCCAGTGGTGTACCTGCTGGGGTCCGCTCGGGTCGATGCCTCTGGAGACGAGCAGCTGCCCTCTTGGGTGTTTCACGAGGCGTTCGGCAAGGAAGGAGTGCTGTTATCAGTAAATAGGAGTGCCGGGGTAAGTGTGAGCCTGAGGTTCGTTTTGAGACTGTTGCAGGCTCTAAGTGCTCGCGCCAGCGGCTGTGGACCTTCTGGGTTCTGCCCTGCCCAGGTCGAGGTCCCGCATGTTTTGAGACGTCGACCCAGGTCTCTTCGAGGTCTCAAAACACGTGGAGCTTCTGGGTTCTGCCCTGCCCACGTCGAGGTCCCGCGGAGCGAATCAAAGCCCCTCGAATCGAAGCGAGCTTCATCAGAATGAGAAGGGTGGGTCGGTCGGCGGATTGGGGAAGGAAAGGGAGGGACGAGGAGAAAGAGCCGTCCTCAAGAAGCATGGGTAGGCTGGAGTGCCAGGGCAAGCTTCGCTATTGGCTTAGAGCCGGATGGTACGCGGTGCTCATGCCTAGGGTAGGCAAGCTTGGCTTTCGCACTAGCATTTTGGCTGGGCTTAGAGTTGCTGACTTTGAGACGTCTCAAAACACGCTTTCGCCCTAGCATTTTGGCAGGGCTTAGAGTTGCTGACTTTGAGACGTCTCAAAACACGCTTTCGCACTAGCATTTTGGCTGGGCTTAGATTTGCTGACTTTGAGACGTCTCAAAACACGCTTTCGCACTTGCATTTTGGCTGGGCTTAAAGTTGCTGATTTTGAGACGTCTCAAAACACGCTTTCGCACTTGCATTTTGGCTGGGCTTAGAGTTGCTGATTTTGAGACGTCTCAAAACACGCTTTCGCACTTGCATTTTGGCTGGGCTTGGAGTTGCTGGACTGGTAACTTGGTCAGGATCCTTGCTGAGAGGCGAGTTAAGGATGAAGGGGAAGTGGCGGAGGCTCCATGGGGGGGACAAGAGAGATCTGGCTTATGAGAAATCTCAAAAACACCCTACAGAGATCTGGCTTTTGAGAATTCTCAAAAACACCCTACAGAGATCTGGCGAGTGGTTAGACATTCGAGCAAGCAGCAGAGTCGACTAAAAAAAAAGGGGAAGTGGCGGAGGGTCCATGGGGGGGGGGAGACAAGAGAGATCTGCTCTTGTGGGGGTGGAGTTTCGGGGTAGTTTGCACTGGCTTTCTGACACGTCTCAAAAGTTCGGGGTGGTTTGCACTATGGAAATCACTTTTGAGAATTCTCAAAAGTGCTCTTGTGGGTGGAGTTCCGGGGTAGTTTGCACTGGCTTTCTGACACGTCTCAAAAGTTCCGGGTAGTTTGCACTGGCTTTCGCTTCAGTGAAAGTGAGGGTCGGGCAAGGAATTATGGTGATTTGATGTTTTTTACGGCCATGTTCGTCTTGTTTCAAATAGTGTTAGGACCATTCCTCTTCATGTTTCGCCTGAATTATTTTCCTAATGTGGTTCTGGGTGTGTTTCCTTTCCCATCCCTGCCATTCGTCCACCCATTCGTGATCCCCCATCTTTCAGCCTGTGGAGAAATCTGGGCGGGGAAGCTGCAGTGGGGGGAACGGACCTGAGGAGGGTAGTTCCCCTTTCCCAGCGGTTATTTAGAGGGCAGAGCGAGGGGAGAAAGGAAGAGGGGGAGGGGCCGCTATGGGCATGGGAGGGGCAAAAGCGGCCTCTGCTGATGGGGATTCTGAATGTCACTCCTGATAGCTTCAGTGACGGGGGGAGATTTACCCGGGATTGGAATGGCAGTGGCAACGGCAGTAGCAGCAGCGGCAGTGGCAGCAGCAGCAAGAGCAGCACGAGTGTATGTGTGGATGTGGAGGCAGCAGTGAGGGAAGCAGAGAGACTGGTGGCCGAAGGCACAGATATTATTGACATAGGGGGCCAATCCACCAGGCCTGGAGCCACCCGCTTGCCGACCAATGAGGAGCTGACACGTGTCATCCCTGTCATCCAGGCCGTCCGATCGCGATCGCCAGATGTGATCATTTCGGTGGACACTTTCGACGCGGAGGTTGCCAGGTCAGCGGCCTTGGCTGGCGCTGACGTCATCAATGATGTGTCGGGCGGCGCGATGGATCCGCAGATGCTGCCGACTGTCGCCGCCCAGAATCTCCCGTTTGTCCTGATGCACATGCGGGGAGATCCCACCACCATGCAGTCTTCTGAAAACACGACGTACAAAGATCTCATTGCTGACGTGGCATCTGAGCTGGCATGCCAGGTGGCAGCTGCCGAGAGGGCTGGAATTCCCTTGTGGAATATCATTTTGGACCCGGGCATTGGGTTTGCTAAGACAGGGCAGCAGAATTTGGAGCTACTCAGGAACCTTGGGCAGCTGAGAAGGGAACTGGGTAGGTGCAGGAAAGGTTTAGAGCATGTCCCGATGCTTCTTGGCCCTTCAAGAAAAGGGTTTCTGGGCAGGCTGACCGGCCGGGCAGCTGGAAAGGATCGTGATTGGGCGACATGTGGTGCCGTGGCAGCTTGTGTTGCTGGAGGGGCAGATGTTATTCGGGTGCATAATGTTGCTGCTGGCCGAGATGCTTCTATTGTGGCGGCTGCTATTTTCAGAAATGTGGGGTTGCATGGTACAACTAAGTGAGGGGGTAGGGTTGTGTTGCTGGAGGGGCAGATGTTATAAGTGCCTAATGTCGCTCCTGGCCGAGATGCTTCTTTAGTGGCGGCTGCTATTCTCAGGAATGTGGGGTTGCATGCTAAGTGAGCAGCTAGGGTTGCGTTGCAAACCCTGCCAACACGCAGTGCACATTTGCATTTTAGAACTGGACAGAGTGACGGAAAAAAAGGAACAAGATGTCGGTAACCCAACCTAACGAGCAATGTTCTCGATCCCGAGACTATATTGCATCTCCTTCGGCTTTTTCTTTTCCCAAACTGCCTTGAAAATCACTTCTCATCACTTCTTTCATTGTAAGTTCATTTAGTCAGCGGCTGTTTTAGTTGATTAGCACACTCGTTGAAAACTATTAATATCTGAAATCGAGGATATCTACAAAGATCCCGATCTGCTCATTATTATTGGTGAGAGAACCCTCCCTCCCTTTCGTCGCGGAGTTCGAGTTGCTCTTTTGTCATGCTGTCCTTTTGTGACGCTGTTCTTCGCAGCGACCGTACATAGACTGAACGCGTTCCTTGAAGTCGCACACACCATCACTGCATCTTGGCCGTTGGATGTTTTATAGCACCACATCCTCCTACAAGCAGGCTCGGTTTGGGGCATGGGATGATAGGGAAATCTCCAATGGGAGTCCATGTCCTGGTTCGGGAGCTGCGGAAACGAAACGCAAATTGGGGTGGTGTGTGTGAATCAAATCCAGTTTGACGCAAATTGGCGATGTGCAGCGAACTCGAACGTCATTGGCTGAAAGCGAGTATCGCGTTCACCGCGTCGAAATCCATCCTCGCTAGGCCGTTTTTCCACTGTGCGCAGTGGCCTACACCTCCAAGTTTCAATCAACAATTTACAGATTCTCACACACGCCTCTCACGCTTCTCAGCATCAACCTTCAAACCAAAACCGCACCTCATTCGTGCGTCCTCGTCAAATCCTTCGCTCTTCTCTCTCCGTCCGCTGCGCTCTTACACCTCCCCTCACCGTTCTCACATCCCCTCGACCATTCCCACCTCCCCTCAGTGATCATGAGCAGCTACTAAATCGCGCAGGGGTGGGAATGCGACACTTGCGGCGCATTGTAGGCCATTTAGTCCAACGCAATTAGTGATTCCACCTCCAAAACGCGCGACTTTGAGCTTGTTGCGAAGAATAATTTCAGCAGAATTATCACAACCACATCGCCCCAGCGACAACGATAAACATCTCCTGTGAAACTCTTTTAGCCTTCCGACAGTTTATATTGCGAGAATCTCGCACGCACGATGGATCCGCGGTCCGACGGCAACTCGCTGCCGCTCTTCACGTCATTCTTCACCAACAAGCGCCTCGAGCTTGCCGCGGCCCCGCGCGGGATCGTCGAGCTTCCCGCGCGACGTCAAGGGCTCGTCAAGCCGCCAAAAGACGGTGGGAAAACGAGTCGTCATGTCATAGACTCTACGACGCTGCAACAAGCGATCTGCCGAGCGTCGATATTCCAGACGTCAGTCGTCGCAGGGAGTTTCTCGTCGCCGCGACTGTCCAATCAACACCCTGTCCTCCACGTGTCGCATCAAACACGGCCACACCATTGTTTCCTCCCCCCTCGAGCGCTTTCGCGAACAAAAGAGGGACCTGTAGACGACGGCGGTCGCGGCGGCGGCGGCGGCGTCGGGGGCAGTGGGGGCAGGGGCGAGGGCGGCGAGCTTCCGAATTGCTTTGATTCGTCGAGCGACGACAACGACGTCGGCGAAGAAGACGCCGACGACGATGGCGACGGCGACGGCGACGGCGGCGATGGCGACGGCGACGACCATCCTAACGACGTCGCATGCGAGGTGCTACACGCGACACGCGCTTCTCGCGGCTCTCGCGGCTCTTGCAACTATCGCGGCGGCGAACCTCACAACCCTCATGGCGGCGACTCGCCGATTTATGGATACGGCGTGAAGCTAACCTTGCAATCGATGCTTCCTTCATATTACCTTCCCGCTCGACCCAGGCAATCGAGCAATAGCGATAGTACCGCCGCAGTGGGAGGTACTGGCAATGTCGCCGCCGTGGTTGGCGCTTTGGCTGTCAACAGCGAGAACGGGACCACGCTAGGATTTCCGAAGCCCGCGACCCCGGCGGCAGCGCGTTTCTCGGCGCAATTAGCGGCGCATCTGCAGCGCGCTAGCCACGAAAACGGCTCGTCGGACGACGAGGAGGAAGAGGGAGAGGGAGAGGACGACGAGGAAGCTGCGGAGGCTGAGGAAGCTGCGGGAGAGGCTCGTGACGCGCCACCCATCAACTACTCTGCGTGTCACGAGAAGGTGGCGGAGGGAGATGATGCTGCTGAGCTGGCTTTCGCTCGTGCACGAAACCTTCACGTGTCGCCATCGCGTCGGCGGCAGGTTGACGAATCTGCCTGCGTCAATCCCCGCTGCGTAAACGAAGCGGCGGGTTCACCTTTTTCCTCCCCCTCAACCTCTCCGTCCGCCGCTTCTGTGCAACGATCCCCCACCTCTTCTAAGTCCCCCAAGACCAAGCGGAAGTCCAAGCTGCGCCTATCGGCCGCGCAGATCCAAGTGCTCGAGTCGCATTTCACGGAAATCGAGCGCGAAATAAAACTGGAGACGCGGCTCAAGCTGGCGAGTCAGCTCCGATTAAAGCCACGTCAGGTCGCGGTTTGGTTCCAGAACCGACGCGTGAAACACGCTACGCTGGCGAGAGAGGGGGAGCTAGCGCGGCTGCGCGCGGAGTTGGCGCAAGCGCACGCGGAGCTGGCGGAACTACGGAAAGAGAATGAGCGGGCGAAGCGCGAGATGGGGGAGTTGGCGGAGGAGCACAAGGAGCTAAAATCGAAATACGACGCGCTGCTGCCGCGTTCGTCGAAGAGAAAATCGCCCGAAAACGAATCCGTAAGTGCCGTTTGCAGCGCTTCGAATGAAATTCACTCAGGGGTTTGTGCTTCGGGATGGGTTTTGTCGGAAATTCCAGTCAAGTGATTATTCTTCACAAAACCCGGAAATCCTGAACCCAGGGTTTATTCTAAACCTGCCTTTCCGTTTTCTCTGCTTCCCCTTCCGTTTTCTCCGCTTCCCCTCCACTTCCCCCGATCAGATGCGTGCGCCTTCGCAGAAACGCGTGAAGCAGGAAAATTACGAGGATACTGGCGCGTCCGCAGGCTGCGCTGAACAGACTGACGCGCGCCAATGCGGGGAGCAGATCTCGGTGGCTGCTGAAGGTGTCTCCGACATTAACTGCTCTGATAAGACCAAGATGGAGGCCTGCAATACAGATGAAGATGTTCTTATGACGACATTCTTGTACGTGCGCAGCCTTTAGTCTAGACTATGAAGACTATTTAGAGTCTTAGTAGTATGCATAAGAAGCTCTGGCTTCAACTATGTGAAGGAATTTGCTGGAAAAAACGCCAAGGCAGAAAGTTCAAGTAATTTCATTGAAGAAGGCATACAAAAACAGAAAACACAAAGCAAGTTATAAGCAAAAGGATTTCTGATTTCGCCCTCGCGCCGCGCCTAATATCGAGCTGAGTTGTACTCGGCTCAATTCCCAAATCCAACCATGCACCGAACGCGCCTCGAGTTCGAATTTCAGACTTCCTTGGACGCGCCTTTGACCCGGCGTGACTTCTCATCACGTCACTTGATATCTCGACATTTCAGCTGTGTTCTTCTCCATTTCAGCACGCTTCCTCTCCTTCTCTTCATTTCCCATCGCAGGTCTAGTCTCTGCCTTGTTTCTCCTTCCACCGCCCCAACATAGGTAGCTCATCTTCTTCTTAGGTCTTCGCTTTCCCTTAGTCTCATCTCGTCAAGCCGGATTCTTCTTAGGTCGATGTAGATCGCGTTAGGTCGTTCTAGGTCGTGGTTAGCTAACCACCTTCAACAATCTCCCCTGTGGTTTGCTAACCACCAGCCTATGCATTCTCCCACGCACGTTTTACCTTGAACCATCTCTAGGCCTGCTCCACACTCCCCTGCAATTCAGCCAAGGTACGCATCCCAACCTCTCTCTTGCAACGCTCAAAATTTGCCCTTGGTAACACCTTAGTCAGAAAATCTGCTGCTTGTGCCTCCGTACGTACGAATTCAAACTTGAACTCCTTGCTACTCACCTTTGAACGCACCCAATGATACTTCACATCCATATGCTTGGTCCTCCCGTGCCAATTGTCGTTGTGAGCCAAGTCGATGGCAGATTTGCTATCCGTGCGTATCACCGTCGGCCCTTTCACCTTGATTTCCATCTCCTTGAGTAGCCGTCTCAGCCAAACCCCCTCTTGGCATGCGTAAAACAGAGCCATGTACTCCGCTTCCGCACTAGAGAGCGCTATGTCACTCAACTTTTTCGCTTGCCACATGATTGCTGTCCCGCCGAGCAGAAACACGTAACCGTATGCTCCCTTCCTTGTTTGCCTGTCGGATGCGTGTGAAGCATCCGCATACCCCACTAACTCCAAGGTCTCTTCACCTCCTTCGAATAACAGCCCCTCATCTTCATGTTGCAGTAGGTAGTCGATAGTCCTCCTCATCTCTCTCCATTTTCTCTCCCCTTGTTGCTGCACTTGTTGCCCAAGGTAGCTAGCTGCGTATGCCATGTCAACGCGCGTGCATGAGACCGGATACATTATGGACCCCACCATGGACTGATATACTTGCCGAGCTCTCTCCTTGCTGCCCCATTGGTTGACATCTTCCTCCCGCTCACTGTCATTTTCAGCTACCCCACTCAATGGTGTAGAAATCGCCTTCGTGTAGCCGTTGCCAAACTTCTGCTGCACCCTGCTGCAATATTTCTGCTGGTATAGGAACATCTTCTTCTCCTCCTTACGCCGCTCCAGATTCATGCCGAGAAAGAGTGTGGTCCTCGGAATCTGCTTGACTTGAAAAACTTCCGCAAGGTGAGTGCACACCTTCTCTACCTCCTCCTCTAACGCCCCTGCCACCAAGATGTCGTCCACGTATAGCACCAAAAACACCTTCTCTTTCCCTTCTCCCTTCCAGTAGATGCTCTATCACACTCACTTTTATGAAATCCCCCTTGCAGTAGCCGCTCATCCATCGCCATGTACCACTCCCTAGGACTTTGCTTCAGCCCGTATAGAGCCTTCTTGAGCTTGCATTTCCTGCCTGAGCCGTCATCATGCCCTGGTGGTTGTTCGAGGTAGATGTCCTCCTTCAACACCCCATACAAAAACGCGTTTTTAATATCCAGCTGCACCATGAAGTATTTTCTTGCTGCTACCACCTTGAGAAAGACCCGCGCCGTTGCCAACTTGCTCACTGGAGCGTAGATCTCATTTTGTTGGTAATCTTTCCCCTCCACCTGAGTGTAGCCCTTGGCTACAAGCCTTGCTTTGAACCTTTCCAGCTGCCCCATATCTCCGGTCTTGATTTTAAAAATCCACTTCACCCCCACGGCTTTCCTCCCTTCCGGCATAGGCACGAGTTCCCATGTGCCCCTTTCAGCCAATGTGTTCAACTCCTCCTCAATTGCCGCTTTCCACTGCTCCCTTTCTGGACCCTCGAGCGCCTCCTCGATGCTCACTGGTTCTTTGGGCAGGTTGTGACTCACTTTCCCTTCATTGGAGACTAGGTCAGTTGCTGTGGCAGAGAGTAGGAGATGGGTATGGATGTCCTTCCAGCACGTCATCAGCAGTTGCGCATACCGAGGGTTTGGTTTCTTCACCCTCTTTCCTTTCCCCAACTCCTCTGCAGATGATTCGACCTCTTCCTCACTGGAATCCGTCAATGCTTTCCCTTCTCCATCCTTTACTTCCCTTCCAATCACGATGGCGCCCTCCTCAAGTAAGTCCTCTATCTCCTTCTCTGCTGCCTGGTTGTCACCACTATTCAGGAACTTCCAGGGATCGCTACTTCCTTCAGCTGCTGATTCTTCATCTCTCTCTTCTCTAGCCACTTCATCGTTGACACCCTCAGCTACTTCCTTGCTTGGCTGCTCCCCTGCTATCTCCACTCCCTTGTTTTCATCCGCTTCCCTGGCTGGTGCCTTCTCCCACACCCAATCAACTGAATCTGCCCGTTCCACATCTTCGATCTCCTCATCCTTTTCATCACCAACTCCCTCACTCTCCTTTTCTTCCAAGAGATCCTCTACCTTGTCCGATGTAGTTGCTGTCCCTGCTGCTGCAATCTCTTTCTCTACCCCCTTCCACTGCAGGTAGCTCACCTCCTCGTAGAAAATAACATCCCGGGTGATTGTGACCTTCCCCGAAACCACATCCTTGATCACCCACCCCTTGCTCACTGGGCAGGTACCAAGATTGATCCCCCATTGAGTCCTTGGCAGCAACTTATGATCCGGACCAGCAGGCTCCCTGTATTGTACCATACTCCCCCACACCCGTGCAAGCCCCAGATTCGGCTTCCTCCCATAGAATGCCTCGTGAGGAGTCACATCTGCCCGAAGTCCCTTGGTAGGCAACCGGTTCTTGGACCAGCAGGCGATTGCTAATGCATCACCCCAGAATTTCAGTGGCAGCCCACTGTCAGCCAGCATGCTCCTCACACTGTCTAGCAGAGAACGATTCACCCGCTCCGCTATACAATTATGCTGTGGAGTGTAGGGTACAGTCAGCTGCCGTCGGATGCCCTTACTATGTAAAAACTTGTTAAACAGGTCCCCGGTAAACTCCCCACCATTATCTGTCCTCAAAACTTTCAGCACCTTCCCACTTTGTCGCTCCGCTTCCGCCATCCAAGTCACGAAGCTAGGAAACACCTCTGCCTTATCTTTCAGCTCCGTCACCCATGTGTGCCTCGTTCCCAAATCAGTGAAGGTAACGAAGTAGCGGCTGCCGTGTCGTGATGCCACCCTCATAGGCCCACACACATCGGCTGCTACGATGTCCAAGGTGCCATAAGGCTCCTGCACCTGGTGGTGGGGGTGTGGGGATTTTGTGATTTTACCTTCAACACACTTGCTGCATTTTCCCTTGCTTCCAGCCCCCTCCTTCAATGTCACTCCTTTTACCATGCCCTTTTTAACCAACTCCTTGATCCTATCCACGCTTGCATGCCCCATGCGCCTATGCAAGGTCTCCAATTCAACCTTCTCCACCCCAACCACCATGGCTGAAGCTTCCTGCTGCAGCTCCTTCACAGGTAAGCCACCAAGCCGAGCCTTCAACTCCTCCCTGGCTAGGTCCCCTTCGAGTGGAGTCATGTAGGTGGCATTCTCTGCTTCCAGCCCCTTCTTCCTCAGCTTCATTTCATACAATCCCTGATTTCTGTTCCCTTCTGCAACCACCTTCCAATTTTCATCAAAAACCCACAGCTTCCCCTTGTCACTGAAGGTTTTGCACCCCGTGCTGTCAAGTTGTGACTGGCTGATCAGATTCAGTGAGAGCTTCTCCACTAAGAGCACTTTTTCCAGTTTCAGCTCCCCATACTCTCCCTGGAGCAGCAACTCTCCTTCTCCCTTCACACTCAGTTTTCCTTCATCACCCAACAGCACATAGGGTACGTTGGAGTCCCTCAGATTTGTAAGCCATTCACGGTGATTGGTCATATGCTGCGTGCAGCCACTATCCATGAACCACGCAGCTTCACCAAACCCCTTTGCCATCAAACACACTCCCGATGCCCTAGCCACGTTTGCCTTGTGAGCTCCTCCCAAAATAACGTCCGCTTCACTGTTTTCAGCTTCCACTGCATTTGCTTTTGCTGCTGCTGGTTGGTTTTGCTGCTGGTTTGCCCCTCGGTAGTTCCTGCTGTTGGGGTTCGAGTAGCAGTTGGCTGCCCTATGCCCAATTTTCTGGCAATAGTGACATGCCCCTGAAAATCCGCCTCTCTGCACCTTGTTATCGCCTCGAAACTCCCCCTCTTTCTGCTGCCCTCCATTTTGCAAGCCCTTCTGCTGCAGACCGCTCCACTTTCCCTTGAAATTTCTGCTCCTCGGGTTGTCATAGCAGTCTATCTGCTTATGACCCTTCTTCCCACACTGAAAACACACCCCAAAACCTCCGTATCCTTTCCCTGTCGCTGCTGCGTTTACCATAGCATGGGTGGCTGGTCCCATTCCGTTCAAGCTAATCTCCTTCCTGAGCCGATCAGCTTTCACCCGCTCCAGAGCTTGGAGCGTCTCTAACAGCTTGGTCATATTCGTGGGTGGGTTGCAGGTTAGGAGCCCTATCTCTGCTTCCCACTCCTTGGGCAGCCCAGTAATGATGTACCCCATCATTTCTCCTTCAGTTTCAGCTGCCCCCATAGCCTTGAGGTCGTCATTGTACCCCTTTGCTCGATTCATGTAGTCAATGACCCTCTCCCCTGGCTCCATACTCAATAGAAGGAGTTTCTTCC